GGGGGCGGGGGGGGGGTCGGCGTTTTATTAGAGTGTTTGCAGTATCCCTTGCTCACCGTTTCTTAACGCTGGAATCCCTGGAGCAGCGGATGCTTATGAAAATTTTGCTAAATTCTATTTTTATGAATTTTCTCGAATTCAGGAAACAAAGCGACACCGGGTCCCTATTCCATAGCCTAAACATTATAGGCTAAAATCAAAAAATTCAATCTCCCCAAAAAATAATTGATATGCTTATAATTAGAAAATGTCGAGATATATATCATGTGTGTGACATTGTTTAGGCCCGTCGTACTTTGTGTATTTTCCAATCTACTCAAAATCTTTGACGTCAAAAGGCTGTGGCGACAACGGCGGCGGCGCCGTAGGTGTGTGGGGATAAGAAGAAGCCGAAAAGAGAAATGAGGCATATGAGACACGACAGAATTAGCATAAGCCATGTCGGTGTTGCTAATATTATTAAATACATTGTTATGATAAAAGAGAGAAGTACATGTTGAGTAATTCCTTTGAATAGAATCGGGGATGAATGAAGAGAGTGCGAGGATAGTTCAGCGGTTTTATTGAATTTCGGCAGAATCTGGAAATGGTTAGAAGGATCAAAAACCTATAGGATTGAAGTAGCGGGAAAATTATTGTGGGTAAAAAAGTAGTGGGTAATTAAAATTTAAATTAAAAGTTTTTGAAAAGGATGATAAAAGTAATGAAGGGCAATTAAATAATGGCGTAATTATGAAGTTAAGAAATGAGTTTTGGTCTCCATAATTATGTTTCTGTTTGTCCGGATGTCCATTTTCTGACTATGAGTTCTAGGAATAAAAGTCCTCGTGTCTAGATTGATTCCGGCCCTCTTGTGGTTCCAAGGATCCGGATACCCTAACTATTAACTTTGAGCCAATTTATCTCGATTTCTGTTAAAGATATAAAACCAATGTCAACTGATAAAATGTTTATCATGATAATACAAACATTTCCTTGGTTGAAACTTTTTTGATATCTTTTACAGGAATCCAGAAAATCGAGCTCAAGCTTGACAATGACGTAAGCTTACCCGACCCCTCGACTTTCTTCCCAGCCATATCTTTCCATGTGAGGATAAAATAGTTTTCTTAAAATAGTATTTATCACCGCACATCAGCTCATCCCGATCTTAAATCGCCGTTTTTTTCTCTGGATTCCACAGGATTCTAAAAGATTTTTATTTATTTTTTTGATCCCTAAGTACCCCATTTAATTATCTAAAGTGCTAAATCCAAGGGATAGATGTACGGTATGCTGATAAGCGTCTTATTTCTAGAATGATATTTTTTCTGGTGATAATATGGATAAGCATGTAGGCATGATTCAGGAGAAAGTCATGATTGTCGCATGGTGTGAGGTGTGTCGTGGGAAAGGGTGGTTGATTAGAGGTCAGGAGGGAAAAAAGCATTTTTGAGGAGTCTGGGTATACTGTAGTGTCTCCAAAAATAGGAGCAAATAATTTGGAATCAGAAAATACGATAGAGCTATGTAAGCCAGACAGTCTGCGAAGTTCATTTCTCTTTTGATACCTTACTTCCACGGACAGAAGCCCACTCAAACCGTCATCTTTGAGCTCAAATATCTCGGTTTCCGTAGAAGATATCAAAATTTTGTCAACTGATAAAATGTTGGTGGAATTATGATAAATGATTTATTAGTTGACAAAATTTTGATATCTTTCACAGAAATCGAGATAATCGAGCTCAAAGTAGGCGGGCTACTAATAAAGGAATTACGGTATTTTGCAAATTTATATGAGCCAATCTCCCAATTTTTCTAACTTCATATTTTTGATTTTTGAGTTCAGGAACTCGGGGACTCAGGAATCCATGGATCCAGGTATCCACGAATCCAGGAATCCAGTCAGAAAGTCACTCTAGTCCGAATTCCCATAGCGTTCTCCCGTTCACCAATTTATCACTATGCAAATCTTTTCATTCCTTTTTTCACGACGCCTTTTTGTCTGAATACCCAATTTTTTCATGTGTTTTGTTCTGATCAAATTTGCAACAGTTCCCTGACCTTCTGAATGATCGCTTAGGTTTCTTTACCCCTCCCCTCATATATCATCAAGCTTATTATCACAGTTATCATTACACAAACGCATTCCTTTTGGTTCGAAGCCTCTCTCCGACGACGTCCGATGAAGATGATGAAGTCTCACTTTGCCACCACCACGTCAAGTACACAAGTCTCTTTCTCTCCCTCGCCCATCAAGTACGTCTTCTCTCCCCCCCCCCCCCTCCAACGATCTCTGATTCATTGAATCAGCTGCTTTTCCGTCTTTTTCCTTCTCAGTATGAAGTTTTGTGAACGTCTCGTTTGACTTCGAAGAAGAAAGCTTTTCGGGAGAAGAAGAAGAAGATAATTGGCAACAAAAAGGTGGCTGTCTCTCCAGACGACGAGAGAGAAAGAAGGGCACCTTCTTTCAGAAGACATAAACGGGATGGTGGTAGTGGTGGTGATGGTGGGACAAGTAATTGCAATTGGAGACACACACCGAAACGTTATAGAGGGACAGAGAGGACAGAAAGAGAGCACAAGGGAGACGAGATGAAGAGCAGTTGAGGGAAAAGAGCAAAAAGTGGGCGGAGCGTCTCTGTCTCCGCGTCCCGTGGCTCTATCTCTCTCCATCCCCGCCTATTTTCTTTTTTCGCCTTTTTCTTCGTCGTCTTCTTCTACTTCTTCTTTTTTCTTCAACTGCTCCCCGAAGAGAGTGAGCTCTTAGTGTTTTTTTTTGGTCGTCCCAGTCCCCGCGCAGTCCGATATGCCGCTATTCAAACGGCGGGATGTTAATACTCCCGCACCGACTTCCAGCATTCGAGAGAAATATGACTTTCGAGATGTCCTTGGGACAGGAGCGTTTTCAAAGGTGAGCCTTTTTTTTTGTTAGACTGATTTGTCAGGAATATTAAGAAATTGGCAAGGTGTTTTGGTTGAGAGGTTCATGAACCATAAGACATAGGGGGATATGGATTTTGTGGAAAAATATGAGATAAAATATGACCAGGTGGTTTGGAAAACCCTGAAAATATGAGCTAGAGAGCTATATTTAAGGTTAGGGGACATCTAAAAAAGGCAAAATTGGTTTTTTTGAATTTTCCAAAATGCAAGGAGAACTACAAAAGCTATAACTCTGCTCATTGTCATCCGTTTTTAACGATTTTTGGCTCAAAATTCCAAAAATTTTCAGAACTTTCTGATTTTAAATTAACCTTTCCTAAGAACTGAGCGTTTTCTGGAGAATAAGATTTTCAAAAAACTTCTGGTACCTTATTTCGGCCAGTTGTATCTTTTCAAACTTTGATCTCAATTTCCGTAAAATCTATAGTAGAAGGGCAGCCACACTGTCAATCATCGCAATTCCTGTAAAAGATATCAAAAATGTGTCAACTGATAAAATGTTTGTCATAATATTAGAAACAATTTATCAGTTGACAACTTTTTCATATCTTAGACAGGAACCGAGATACCGTAAAACCTCTAATAGAACGACACCCGGATCGTCCACTATGAGCCTATATATCTCATTTTCTGTGAAAGATATCAAAAAGTGGCTAACTAGTAAAATGTTGCTGATATCCTGATAAACATTTTACTAGTTAATCACTTTTTGATATCTTTCAAAAGAAATGAGAAATATAGGCTCAAAGTGGACGATCCGGGTGTCGTTCTATTAGAGGTTTTACGGTAAATCGGCTCAAACATAAAAGTTTGGTGGCCCAAGGTTTTACGGTATGTAAGACTTCAGTAAATCTACAAAAGCAGTTTACTACGAAAATGTGTGTAACATAACATAATTTTATAGTTATTCGCATTTTTGAATCTTTACTACAAGCTAAGATCAGCTGGCGTCCAACTTCAGCCTCTTCATTTTGTTCTTCCATGGGAACTGAGATTTTTAAAAAAGTCGTTTCTGGTTCCCTAAAATTGTCCCAGGTTTCTTAGTACAACTTCAAGCTTCACAGCATTTCCGGTGCTAGTTGTTTTTTTCTGAATACCTAGTCAATTTCCGGTCATGTTCCTTTTATCATATCTCCCTCATACCTATCTCTCCTTTTTCGCTATCACCTAAATCCCCCTAATTTCCGGCCGTTCGATTGTGTGACACACCGCTGTCTGATAGATATGGGATAGATATGGGATAAAAAATCACTGACTAATCCCCCCTTAATCCTATATGTGACGTAACTTAAATCCTCCATTTCGTTTTAGCCACACCGGAAAAAAATTTGTTGTAAACTGAGACCCCCCTACTACTACTTTCTATGGATTTCTTCTCGATTTCAGAGAGAGTGACTTTATCTGCTGGGGACCCGTCCGGAAGAGAAGAAGGGGGGAGACTTTTGGGATAGAAATAGAGTGAGCGACTCTCCGGATTAAACGGAAAATCGGTCCTCATCCCGCCGCAGCAGAAGAAGAGATATATATTGGAGAGAAAGGGTCCTCTCTGCTGGACACTCTGGCACACCACCAGAGCCAATCGGATATATTCATTCAGAGTGATGAAATGTGTTTGGTGTTGTGTATGATGTGTGTTACACCTTACCGAACACTAACTGACTCAGGCTTCTCGTGAGAAACGAAACACGGGAAATTTGATTTAAGAGAAGCGAAACGGCTATTTTAGGCGGGCTAACAATAACAGGAGGTGTGCGCCACAAAGGTTTTCTTTTTTTACTTGGGGGTTGTGGATAAAAAAGGAGTCTAGACGAGAGTGGACAAGATTGATTTCTGGAACGATCTGAAAATCTAAAAAAAAAAAAAAAAAGAAAAAAAAAGTCAAAGGCGCGACAGCCTGTAGTAGCTAGAATAGGAATCAAACCCCCCCCCCCATAAAAATGGAGGAAATTGGGTTTAAAGGTACAAAACACACAAAAAATGGCTTTTGTGATTATTAAAAGGGGCTAGAGACGCCAGACGACGAGACACACTGCGTCTCTAGCCTCCCATACTTCAAATGACTGTATCTCGGCTCCAGGAACAGCTATAAACATAGTTTTGGTATCAAATTGAAGCATTTTGAATTTGAAACAGGGAATTACAGGTTAAATAACACCAAACAATTATAGCGCTTCTAAAAGCTGAGAAACAAGTAATCAGAAAATTCGAATAGCGTTTTTAGAGATTGTAATTTTGGCGCACAGTTTACCGAACTCATAACAATGGGTATATCTTTAGACATAGGTATCTTGAAAGCGCAAGATTGGTAGGATTATAATTTTTTGTTTGCGGTTTCTCAAATCTAGGTGTCATCATCCTAATAACATTCACCTAATTCTCTCTGTGAAGATCTATGTCGCGCGCCCTTTTACCCCTTCAAAATTAACCGTTTGAGCTGGAATTTAGATGGATGAATCACAAATTTTTATGAAATGATGCCCGACTTCTTCTCTTTTCGAAACTTCGTTTCTAACGTCTTCTGGAGACATTTTTCTTCCTTTTTATATGATTTTTTAGAGAAGAAAAAAAAACGAAGCGACTTTGATAAATGATAACTCAGCTCTAAGTTTGCTCAAATATTTTGAAACTTGGCAAGTTTACTGATGAATTATCTAAATTTTGGTATGCCAAATTTGAGCTTGGTACAACCCACTGTTCCTTTTATAACATCAGTATTCTACCCTATACGTGCCAAATCTTGCCTGCTTTTCAAAAGTGCCCATCTGACTTTTTCTTATTCGAAAAGAGCAAACCCTTTTGCAACCTGATCCAAAAGTGTGCTGGCTCCCATTCCATATTTAGCCTCTCCCCCTTTTCGACACCATCAACCAGGTGCAAATCCAAATCTAAACTTGGAATTGGAACCCCCTAATTGTGAAGATGTATAAAACGTCAGAAGCTCTGTGACGTTTTTCGCCATTTTCACACCAACCCACTTGTCGATTGATGACATCATCATCATGCTCCCCATCATGACCCCCTTGTAAATTAACGGGGAAGGAAATAAGGAAAAAAAGAGCACAAAGTATATGCCTGTGTTTCTACCATAATCCAATTTCTGCTCATATATGTATCTGAAAGAAAAAATGTGTGCTATATGAATGACAGCGAAGAATGAGCAAAAAATGCGGAGCCAACACAACAACAATAACAACCTTGGCGCAAACGAGCGGAGATAATTAGATAGTTGGAGGAGATGGAATGGAAGAAAGAAGAATTCCAAGAAGCGAAGAAAATTGGAAAAAAAGAAGAAGGTGGTGGGGGGGATTAGGTTGAATAGGTTCAAGTGGAGTGAAGGGGGACTTAGAGTCAGAACGGTGCTAGTAGGACATGCGTACTTGTAATATGAGGGATGAGAAAATAGAATAACTAAGAAGATGAGTTCTAATAGAAAGTTCTAGAAAGGTTCAAGGAATTGTTAATGAGGGATATGTTCAAAGTGTTAGAATGGATGGTAACTTTGATCCCATATATCTAAGTTCCTGTAAAAGATATCGAAAAATAGTCGACTGACAAAATGTTTATCAGAATATCACCAATATTTTATCAATTGACAAGTTTTTGATATCCCTTACAGAAATCGAGATAATTGAGATCAAAGTTAATGAGTTGGGAGGGCTTTTACATATCAGAGGAACGTTGATTCTTGGTTCATATACATATTGGTGTCCAAAAGAGCGTTCACTGGAATGTTATTAAAATTGACCCGTGCACTATTTGGTTATCAAAAATTGATATTGTGATAAATGTAGGCCGGATGTCGTGCCTCAGGCTTTTAACATCGAGACGCTACCGTAAAACATGTGCCACCTACACCGCCGACTTTGAGCCTATATATCTCGGTTCCTGTACGACATATCAAAAAGTGATCAACTGATAAAATCTTTGTGATATTATGATAAACATTTTGTCAGTTAACAACTTTTTGATATCTTTCACAGCAACCGAGATATATAGACTCAAAGTTTGATGGTCCCTGGCCACTAGCTTGTTACCTTGGTGCCAAAATTATGATTAGCTTTCCTTCAAATTGCCCTCAGAACTCGATCCACCTAGTCTCTGATCTTCCAATCTTCTAAACTTCACCTGTCGTCGACCTCTACTCGTACTCACAACAACATCTCCAAACTTTTCAGAAATTCTAAAAAATCCCATGAAAAATTCACAAATTCTCTCTTCTCTCTCATCCAACTAACTCCAAATTCAACCCGATCTCATCACCGCAGTGCCAATCTCTGGTGCCTTATATGGTTGGGACCCATCTCTTGATGATATCCTTTCTTCAATACAAATCCGTTTCTCTCCACGGTCGGTTAATCGAAAAAAAAAACGGAAACTGCCCCATTTTTTGTGCCTCTAGGGGGGTCCCGAGTCTCTTCGTCTTCTGGCGATGACCTGCGGTTTTTGGAAAATTGGAAATGAAGAAGAAGAAGAAGAAGAAGAAGAAGACGGGGAGAGACTTCACATTATTGTTGCATAAGAAAGTGGATCGGGAATGGGAATAGGGTGGTGTACGTCAATGGAGGTTCTTTTAAGACGATCTAGGCGGATATGGGATCTATGGAGCATGTGACTGGTTTAGATGGATCACTCACTAAGCGTTGTTTGTGGGGAATCTAGATTATCTGAGCTACGGTAGAGCTAAGCTATAAGCGTAAGATAAACATGCAGTACAGTAATCAGTATCCAGCACCACAGCTCAAATTTGCTAATCTTTGACCTATCCAACGTCTTCTCCTTCTTTCCAAAAGTACCCTCCTTTGATTCAATTGAACTTTTCATCATCATGATCATCGTAGGCACGTGTGCTGGTCAGACTGACGAGATAGAGATAGATAATGGGCTGTTGGGACCCCGGGAGGGTTTTTGATGTCCGGAAGAAATCACTTGGACAGCTGCCAACGGACACCGGAAGAGGGGGGAACACTGACATTTATCAGTTTATTTTTCTAGCTGACATCTGGTTTGGTTTAGTTGAGAATGATGAAATCCACAAAAATAAACCAAAACATTTGGAATTATAAACGAAGCAAATTTCAGGTCTTCCTAGCCGAATCAAAAACCGATGTGGGCCAGCTGTACGCTGTCAAGTGCATCGATAAGAAGGCGTTGAAGGGGAAGGAAGAGTCGCTGGAGAATGAGATCAAAGTTTTAAGGAAGTGAGTTAAAGGAAGCTGGAATATAGTCCTAAACATCCGAACCCCCACATTTTATGCTTCAAAACGATACTAAAATCGCTAAAATCCATTTTGTCTAGGCTGAGATACACTCTTTTGTTTGGCTAGAGTTCCAGACGACGAGACATCTCTCGCTTCTCTGCGCCCTCTTGTTCTCTCGAAAAAAACAAACTTCAAAGGCGCATACCTCGCTTCAAACTTGATTTAGAGCAATGGAAATTGCACAGTTTTGTAGAAAATTTTAAGGGCTTTCAGGCAAGGTGCAAGTAAAACATGAAAAAAAAATATTTTTTAGAATTTGAAACTTTAGCTATACATGTACCTTGAAATCTTTTTAGAGTAGAAAGGCTCCCCACACTGTCCAGTTTGAGCTAATTTATCCCTGTAAAAGATATAAAAAAGGTTCCTGTAAAAGATATAAAAAAGTGGTTAACTGACAAAATGTTTGTGATATTGTGATAAACAATTTAGTAGTTAACACCTTTTTTATATCTTCTTCATGAACCGAGATATATGGGCTCCAAGTTGATGCTTCAGGCGGGTTTCTAATATAGCGCCCACTTCAATACGTGCTCTTTGAGCTCATATATCTTGACTCCTGTAAAAGATATCAAAAGTGTATAAACTGATAAAATGTAATTATAACTATGATCAATATTTTGTCAGTTGACCTCTTTTTGATATCTTTCACAGGAACCGAGGTATATGGGCTCAAAGTTTGGGTGGCACTCTATTAGTGTGCTACGAACATTTCTTTCCCATTCAACTAGTCTCGCTTTCTCTTTTCACACCCATTTTTCCAGTTCGTAAAGCAATCTAGACACTCGCGTCCCAATAGAAAAAAAGCTCTCCCGATTTAGTATATAAGTGCTCAGTGAGCTGCCTATTTTTGTCCTTTTCTCCTTCAAGGGGTCCCAAAAGTATCTGTTTTCAAGTCATTGAAAAAAAGTGATGAGGCGCGTGGATGATGTCATTATTTTTCGAAGATTTCGAATTCGAAGAAGTGGGGACTAAACCCAGCTATTAAGAATGAGTGGCTTTTCTTATGATGAATTTGAAAAACAACAAACAACTGCAAATTGATGGGTTGAACAAGTCTGGAGACGCTCTGAAAATAAGAGGAATCTGTAATTTGATATGTAGTTCTTGTAGTGTGTTGTCGCGAGTTGAAAGTGGACAACAACTGCGCGTGTTTTTGAGAATTTAGATTAGATTTATGGGCCAGATTTATAAAATCTGTTGTTATGATCTCAAGGGAACCTAACCTTTAACTTTGAGCCAATTTATCTCGATTCCTATGGTATATATGAAAAAGTAATCAACTGGTAAATTGTTTATCATAATATCACAAACATTTTATCAGTTGACAGATTTTTCATATTTTGCTTAGGAGCCAAGATAAATCAACTCAAACTTGGCAGTGTAGAAACCCGGGAACGGTTACCGTGAACAGAGTACGCCACCCATTGCTTGCAATTTCAGCTCTATTATCTTGGTTCTTGTAAAAGATATCAAGAATTAGTCAAGTGATAAAATATTGTTGATATTATGATAAACAATTTATTAGTTGACAAACTTTTGATATCTCTTATAAGAACGGAGATAATGGATCTCAAAGTGAATGGTTTGTGGGACAACGTAATTGGGATCAAAGTTGTACTGTGTTAGAAAAGACATGGAAATACTTTCTGAGCACACGGAGCAAAGTACAAGCCTTGTTTTTTGAGCATTTATGAGACAAAGAAAGCTCTTTTGTTGGCTGGGTGGCTGCTGACTACTTTCCTAGCAACCGCGGAAGCTTTTGCGCTTTCTGAACTCTTTTGAACTTCATGGAGCTTTAAGGGACATTTACATAAAATTCCCTATTTCCAGACTCCGACACAACAACATAGTTCAGTTATTCGAGACATATGACGAGAAGCAGTTTGTATACCTCGTCATGGAGCTAGTCACCGGTGGAGAGCTGTTTGATAGAATCGTGGCAAAAGGATCGTATACAGAACAGGACGCATCGAATCTCATTAGACAAGTCCTGGAAGCAGTATCATTTATGCACGATAATGGAGTAGTACATCGAGATTTAAAGCCGGAGAACCTTCTCTATTACAACCAGGATGAGGACTCGAAAATTATGATCTCCGATTTTGGACTTTCTAAGACAGAAGACTCTGGAGTGATGGCGACGGCGTGCGGAACGCCGGGATACGTGGCGCCAGAGGTTCTTCAACAGAAGCCATATGGAAAAGCTGTTGATGTCTGGTCGATAGGAGTCATCGCTTACATCCTTCTTTGCGGGTAAGTAGACTTTATGGTTGTAGTTTTTCACTTATGAGTTTCCAGATACCCACCATTCTACGATGAGAGCGATGCCAACCTCTTTGCTCAGATTATCAAGGGGGAGTATGAGTTTGATGCCCCATACTGGGACCAGATCTCGGATTCAGCCAAGGACTTCATCTCTCACTTGATGTGCTGTGATCCGGAAATGCGATTTACTTGCCAGAGTGCGTTGGAACATCCATGGATCAGTGGAAACACCGCCTACACTCATGACATCCACAGAACTGTCGCAGTGCATCTTAAGAAAAGTTTGGCAAAGAGAAACTGGAAGAAGGTGAGAGCTGAGTTTTGAATTCTACCTGTCTGTTTGCCGCTGGCTGGTGCGCCTTCGGCGCCATTAAACTTAGTGTTTACTCGTTCGTCACTTCGTACCTCACTTTTTATTTAATTTTCAAGCGTTTCAAAAATGTGCAGACAAAGTAACAAACAGAGAAAGATACGCAACTTCATTTATTTATTACCACGCCTCTGGCGCTTCAAACAGTTGGCTGGTGCGCCTTCGGCGCGATATAATCTAGTTTTTACTGGTTTGTCGCTCCGTTCCTCACTTTTTCTTGAAGGGTCACATAAACCTATACTTATTTTTCAAGTTTTTCGAAAGTCCACAAATCCTCATTGGGACAGACAGACGCGTCTAACGTTTTATATATAAGGAAGATAGTGTATATACCTGATATAGAGCTTGATTACCAGCGGATTTAATCTGAACCGTATTGCAATTAAACATCCAAGCAATGCCCAAACCAAAATTATCATTCCAAGAAATCTCAAAATTACATGATTCAAGCTTTGAGCCTTTCGGTTTGCATCGTTCAACACTTTCACCAAGTAACAACAAACGTACTGCGTGGCACATAGTTACCCGGACCAAAGTTTGTGCTAGCAAAAAATTTTAGTAAAGCGTTGTACTGGGCTGAAATTTGGATTGCTGAAATTCAAATAATTCATCAGTAAACTGGCCAAGTTTCGAGTTATTTGATCAACTTTGAGCTGAGTGATCGCTTGTCAAAGATTCTTCATCTTTGGAAAATCATAACAATAACTAGACTTGAGGAATCGCTTTAAGATTTTCAGTAGCTTTGAATCAAACGTAAAATTGTATTTCTACCAATTTTCATTTTTCCAGGGTACTTATGTCTAAAGATATATCCGTTTTTCCAGGCATTCAATGCTGCTGCAGCCATCCGTCAGCTCCAACTTCTTCGTCTCTCTCCAATAGCAACCGCCTTCAGAAACAAGCGTCCCAACAGCAACCAGCGCCTCCAATTGCCTAATGTTTTGGTTTTCCAATACTTTTGTAAAATACCGTAAAACCTCCAATAGAAGGGCCCCTACTAACTTTCTTTTTTGAGCCAATTTTCCTCGATTCCTAGGAAAGATATCCAAAAGTTGTCAACTGATGAATTGTTTATGATAATACTAGGAACATTTTATCAATTGACACATTTTTGGTATCGTGGGGGCCCTTCTATTAGAGGTTTTAGGGTAATTGATTTTTCTTGCTGCGCCTCCCATTGATTTCTTTTAAAAAATATATTTGAATTCCCGCTCTTCACTGTGATTCCCATAAATCGATCCCCCTTTTTTTGGTGTTCTCTCTGCTTTCTCTTTGTCTCTTTTTTTTCGCTGACACGATTCTTTTTTTGTAAATACCTATTCTGCTGTCCCCGATGATTAAAATTTTTCGTACACAATCCCCTTTTTGTTCTGTACCTTTTTGTACCTTTAGTTTAACAAACTTTTCTCTATTTTCCCTTTTTTCCATTCTGAACGTTTTCAATGTAATTATTTGTGATCTCTCGAAAACAAAGCAAATGAACTGATCTTGATTTTTCGAACTTCGAATTTAAAAAAAAAATTGAACTGGTTAAATCAATTAATTAGCTAATTAACTTTGAGAGAAGGCTGTGCATCTCGGAACCTCTTGATTAATATAAAGAACCTTATGAATACGACACTGCCTAGTACATCATTGGTTCGAGATCTCTATGCACAAGTAGAGACGCAGACAATCCGTGTTTAACCGTCTGGGTGTCTCTTCAAAAGCGCCTATCTTTATACATACCCCGTCTTCCTCTTCTCCTTCTTCTCATTGATTGAAGAATTCTCTCTGAACTCCCTCGCTTGTCGTTTTTCGCCGGGACACGAGCTTGTTTCGAGGAACTTTTGCTTGTTTTTTTTTTTGACAATCATTCCTGACTATATCTATAATGTTTTCCCATTTTTTTGAGATTATACTTAGTACATTTGATTTGATAGTTCCAAAGTTTAAAGTTAGTTTAGGGGACTAATAACAAGTAGTGTTGAAACCTAGACTTTGGAAAATTAACATATTCTACTGATTAATGGAAAATCAGACGACTGGAATGAATTTTCGTCAATAAGTAACCCAAAAAGCATGATTTTTGCTTAATACCTGTTGTTTAATTTGAGACGGCTTTTGCTATACGATGTTTATTGAGTTTTTGATTTTGAAGTTAATTTTGAATTGAATAATTATTAATGACTGGAATTGATTGATTTTGTGATATTTGAAGCTGATTTTCGTAGTAACAGTCTTTTTATACTTTAAAACCTCTAATAGAAGGGTCCCACACTGTCAAGCTTGAGCTAATTTATCTCGCTGTTGGTCCAAGATATGAAAAATGTGTCAACTGATAAAATGTTAATCATAAAATCAAAAAAATTTTATTAATTGACAACTTTTTAATATCTTTGACAGGAACCGAGATAAATTGTCTCAAAGTTAGGGGTGCCCTTCTATTACAGGGTTCACAGTATACTGTGTTTTTTTTTTCTGTTACCTATTAACAACATTTATTACAGTTCCTGACTTCTGTCTTCACAAACTTGGGTTCTAACCGGAGCAGCAGCCAGTCGGCAACAGAGCAACCAGAGCTCTCAGGCAAGCTGAGCAATGACGACTGTAGTGCAGAACCAGGATGAAACCGGTGAGCTGTGCCCCTATGCTCCTTATCTTGTACCCACACGTTAGTAGAATAGTTGCAGAATCTTCTAGTTTTCATTATATGTTAATCTTTCGATTTTCAGTCCGACCACCACGCCTTACTCGTCGTGAAAAACGGAAGTACGACAAGATATTAATGGGATTTTTGCCAATTGCGAGGTGAGTTAGAAAAAAAAGGGAAAAAAAGTCAAGCTGGATTATTCAGAAATGACGTATTCCGCCGACGAAATATGTTCAGTCAAATAGTGAATGCATTTGCGCCCCAAATAGAAGGCGCTCCAGCACATGATGAGAGGCTGTATGAGCTTTCGGAAATGCAGGTACTCTGCCAGCCAAATAGAAATGTGCTCTCGATTTGTGAGCAAGGAGAGACTGAAATTCACGAATGGACGTTACTTGATAAAGAAGCTACTAAAAGGACTATCCAGGATGGGAAAGAAACTGCGTCGGAAGTTTTCAAAGTGCTTCCAGGAGATCGAGATTTTATGTTGAATCTGTTGACACGGTTTTATACAGAAAGGTCGAAGTGTGAATTCGACAAGTTTGGGATTACAGTTGAGGAGGAGGAGGTTAGTTGATCAAAAATAAATAAACGATTACCCGGACTGATACAGCTAGCTGGTGCGCCTTCGGCGCGATTTGAACTACCTATTTCTCGTTCAGGAGATGTCGCACAGATAACTTGACTGATAAAAACGGGTATATCTCTAGACATAGGTAACCTGAAAGCATGACATTTGGTAGAAATATAACTTTACGTTTGATTCGAAGCTAATAAAATTTTCAAAGCGATTCCTCAAGTCTCGGTATTCTTATGATTGTCCAAAGATGAACCAACTTTGACCAGCGATAACTCAGCTCAAAGTTGACCAAATAATTTGGAACTTGGCCAGTTCATAGATGACTTATTAGAATTTGTGTACTCCAAATTTGAGACTAGTACAACGTTTCACTCAAATGTTATGCTAGTAGGGTAATTATGCGCCACCTTTTGCATTTATTTATAATTCAAATTCTTGATTTTTACAGGATGATCTACACGACTGGCCATTCCTCACCTCTATCAACACCAAAGAGCTCGTTTTGAAACTACCTTCATCTATGGTTACTATCACTGATCGATTGAACAATTTCCTACTGACACTGATAACGTATCCTCTTCAAAAGTCGTTCCTCGAGTGTAGCCCTGAGCTTTTCTATGAAATTTGCAAACGAAAGATTGTCAGTTTCCAAGCATCCAAGGCCCATCTAAAATTGGATTTTTTAGCTACCATCTCCCAAACTGTGGCTGTCTTTTACGAGTTTCGATTACAATGCTTTCAAGGTTAATACATCAAAATGGCTTCATTTGACCTGCACCAAAAAGACGATTCGTCTGAATGAGTTTCAAAAAGTGTTTGAGGTTAGTACAATAGAAGGGTCCCCGTACTGACAAGTTTGGGCCCAATTATCACGGTTGCTATAAAATATATCAAAAATGCGTCAACCGATAAAATGTTGCTGATATTATGATGAACAATTTATTAGCTGACAACTTTTCTATATCTTTTTTTGGTCCTCTAATATTGCTTTCAGCTCTACGCGGATCCTGACAAAAACGGCTGGCACTTTGAAATCGAGATGCCTCATATCAAAGAAGAAATGATAGTTATCACTCAGTTAACTTCTAATTCTAAACGTGGATTCTCAAAAAGAAAATATCAAGAAAAGTGAGTAACCGATTCTTTTTTCTATTCAACCGAACTTCCGTTTTTCAGAGTTGCTGCGTCTAAAAAGCTGGAAAATAATCTGGAAGTGGTTGCCTATTTCAACGATTCCGAAAGCGTTTGGATAGTGGAAACCGTGAAGTTTGAGTCAAAGGATCTTACTCCTGAGCCCCCAATACTGCAAGTGTCGAGCCCTAAACCAAAAGAGAAAATCACTCAAGAACCGAACGCTTTCCGCTTCTTTAAATCAGTAATTTTGGATTTCAAAGAGTTCAAATTGACCTGTGATGGACAACAAGAAAAATATAAATCAGAATTTGATGCCCAGAAAGCATTGAAAGAATTATTGGAAGAATGCCCAAAGTACCATATCAAATCAATGGTGATTATAGTAAGTTAAAATTCCTTTGTTATTTTCTAATCAATAAAAAAATTTCCAGGGCACCTACATCTTGTTTTGTAGATCACCGTTGTTATCCGTTTCCGAACTAACGTTGTTGTATGAGGATCCTCATATGTTTAGTTTTTTCACACCATTCAGACATTGCCGTTTCGAAAAGTTGACTGTTTCAACTGAAGACTGCTTGGAAAACTTCCCGTCCTTTGTGAGTTTTTCTCGTTGTGATTTTTGAACTCGTCATGAAACATGCTTTAGAATGAGTATAATCATGATAGGGTTTGGCCGGAATTTAAATTTTTGGTGTTCTAGGTCATTTCTAGGTCATGACCTAATTTCTTTTCTAGGTCATGACCTAATTTCTTTGCTAGGTCATGACCTAGATTTTTTTAGGTCATGACGCAGATTTTTAGGTTATGACCTAGATTTTTTTTAGGTCATGACCTAGATTTTTCTGGGTCATGACCTAATTTTTTAGGTCATGACCTAGATTTTTTTTCAGGGTCATGACCTAGATTTTTCTGGGTCATGACCTAGATTTTTTTTCAGGGTCATGACCTAGATTTTTTTCAGGGTCATGACCTAATTTCTTTGCTAGGTCATGACCTAGATTTTTTTAGGTCATGACGCAGATTTTTTAGGTTATGACCTAGATTTTTTTTAGGTCATGACCTAGTTTTTTCTAGATTTTTTTCTAGGTCATGGCCTAATTTTTTTCTGGGTCATGACCTAGATTTTTGGATTTTGAACATAAAGCTGAGAAATTCCCTAATCATGAATATATCAAATTTTCAGACCACCCAAGCCAAGAAATTCATTGCCCTGGACAAAACGCCAATTGAGTCAGAAGTTGAGGAGCCTCCTAAGACGACAGTCGAACCAGAAGTTGAGGAGCCGCCCAAGAAGCGAGCAAAAAATGAAAATCAGAAAGAATGCTCATTGGAACCAACCAATACCTCTGCCAGTCACTGCTCTCCGGAATCTGCCCAGACGAGAAGATCCTCTCGTCGCACTACGAAGCGTACAAGGAAACCAACACCCGAAGCATCCTCCAATGAAACACCTCGTCGGAAGTCTCGTCGAAGCATCGCGAAGAGAGAAATAACGCCTTCTCCTCCAGAATCCACCAGTCCACCAATGGCCGTTTCTCCAAAGGATTCTCCAAAAGAGTCACCCCGAGAGCGTTCATCTCGAGAACGCTCTTCATCAACTACCTCCTCAAGAAGAACCCGGTCTAGAACCCGTTGTCGTGCCCCATCCAGATCCGTCACTCCACCCCAAACCCCTCCACGTCATCACCGTTCCCGATTGCCCACCCCAATCATATCCAGCCGCTCTCCTTCTCCATTCTCTAGAGATTTAGCCGCGGCTATCGCATTATCTTTGGAGCCACAAAACAATCATGTCCCAAGTGTCTACCGTAGGACCACTAGACCTCCCCTAAATTATAATTACATTCCATACTTCTCCTCTCGTTATGTTCCTGAACCAATTTTTGTTGATCCAATCCTAATCGAATGTTGCTCTTATAAACTAGAACCGGTTCGTAGCCAACGTTATGATCCATTTGAAGTTAGGCTTAGTTTTAGTTCCCCTCCAGCTAGATACTCCTCACCGTTTGAGACAAATCGCTATCAAAATGATTGGCCAGAGCCACATATGCTAGCTGCAGAGTATAATACAATTGAATATCAAGACGATTTTGAGAATCTTCCGGGTCCCTCTTCTATGTACTGAGATTGCCTCCTATTGTTCCCTGTGTTCTTTATTTCTTCATTCCATAGTTGACTGTTTTTTGAATATCGCCTCATTTCTCATTTTTTAAAAGCTTCCAGCAATCTTGCCCTTTTCAAAATACATTAACCGTAAAACCTCTAATAGAAGAGCCCCTATGTGGGTATGTATGTTTGTTCCCATGTCGCCTACATTAGCGAAGTCCTCACTGGGCTAAAATATCCCAAACTTGGATAGATGATCCGAAATAGTATCGAGATGATGTCCTAATTTTTCTTTTTTCAAAAAATTTTGTTTCTAACGTCTTCTGGAGACGTTCTTCTAATTCTGCAGTACACGCCTGTCGGCGGCTACATTCTCCTGGTGTTATGATAAACAATTCAAACGAGATGAATTGGCTCAAGGATGAAAATTAGGGGGCCCTTGTATTAGAGGTTTTATGGAAAATTAGCTTCCCCGAAAGCTCCTCATGGTCTTCACCTCATCATGATTATACGTTCTTCATCGTATTTCTTCATCCTTTGATCTTCTTCTTTTTTGTCTTTTTGTATTTATGATGATTCCCAACAAAATAAGTTTCTTGTTGATAGTCTATCAATTCCTTTTTCTTGTGATTTTGATTGTACTGGCTACTTTTTTCACTCTATTTTTGTCTTGTTTAAAACTATGTGAAAATATATTATTTTGAAAAATTATTTGAAGTGTACAAGTCAAAGATATTGTTCCTAGAAGATCAGAAGAATATTTTCTATAATTTGATGAAATGTTACACTGGTATAAAGCTAGTTTCTATTGGCATAAAATTTGAATAAAGCGTTGTACTTCGCTCAAATTTGGAGGGCTCAAATTCGAAAAAATTTATCTATATACTGACCAAGTTTCAAATTATTTGGTCAACGTTGAGCTGAGTTATCGCTTGTCAAAGTTAGCTTCATCTTTGGACAATCATAACAATACCTAAACTTGAGGAATCGCTTTGAGAATTTCAGTAGCTTTGAACTGAACGTAAAATTATATTTTTACCGTTTCCAAGATGATTAGGTCCGAAGATATACCCATTTTTATCAGTCTGGGGAATTGTGCGACTCGTTTCGTACCCCTGAACAAGAAACAAGTAGGTCAAATCGCGCCGAAGGCGCACCAGTCAGCTGTTTGTAGCGCCAGAAGCGCAATACCTCTAGTCAACTAATCCGTTAAATGTCATTAATGTCAAAATGTTTATTCTAAAACCTTAAAACCATTTTCCATTGTTTCATTGTTCCAAGCTAACGAAAAGGTGTGTCAAACACTCTGATAACAACGTGCAAGTGACCAAATAAACATCCCCACAAAAAACCTGATAAGAAAAAATCAATTTCACTTTTTCTCTCTCCAAAAAATCGGTTTTCTTTGCACATCTATAAACTGTTTGCGAGTGAAAAGTACAAATTAGTTTCTCGCGCCGCCCGGAAGGCACCCCCCCCCCTTCAAATATTTGTTCACCTTCTTTCTTTTTTTCTCTAGAAACCCTCTTTATCTCTAGACTTTTACGTTTTGAGATCAACTTGGACAATGGAACCATCTACTTCGGAATTTGCAGTTGATGTGAGTTAAAGAACCTGTATTAGAAGGGCATCGAACTTTGAGGCAATTTATCTCGGTTCCTGTCAAAGATATAAAAATAGTGTCAACTGACAAAATGTTGGTGATATTATGATAAACAATTTATCAGTTGACAACTTTCATGTATCTTTAACAGGAACCAAGAAAAAATGCCTCAAAGTTAAGATACGCAGACAGTTAGAGTGTCTCGTTGTCTCCTCGATACGTCAAGCGGCTATATCTCGGCTCCTAGAAAGGCTGGAAACTTTTTTTTTCAAATCCAAAGTTTCAGAAAAATTGCAATTTTTGATAATTGTAAAATAGAACACTTTTATTCTGATTCTGTAAAAAATCATTCTCCTAGACCTCCTGCGATCCAAGATACATCGTTTTGAAGTTTGGAGAGACGCAGACAGTTAGAGTGCCTCGTCTTCTGCGACTCTTCGCTATATCTCGGCTATAGAAAGAATTTCAGTACATTGGAATCATCTCGAATGAGAACTACTCTGGATTGGATGATTTTGGGCGGACCGATTTTTTGAGAATCTATGATAAAGCTAAGGTAATCAATTTTTCAAAATTTTCAACACAAAACTTTTTGTCAGAAATCCAAAACCATAAAATCTGTAACCAATCTTGATGTGAACTTTCGATCATTCGTTCTTCAAGTCCTCCATGATAAAATTGTTGTAGTAGACAGAAAGTCGGTGAGTTGGTTTTTGGTCGCTTCGAGAAACTATATTTACTTTTTCGAAACCCCAAACCAAACCAAAACTATAGTTTTTCTAGAAAACCTGCGCTTTCGAAGTATCGATTCCTTTGATCTTCTCATGTGGATCCTTATCTGAAGATGGTCTGGTTATTTTCACATTCAACATTGCTCCGTATCAAGGGAATTTGAATTATCGAGACTTGCTGGTTTTGGCACTTCCGGATGAGGTATTTTTAATTTAATTGAAATTTACGGAGCTTTTAAATTTAGCATCTATTTTCAAGCAAGCTTCACAGCCTATCACATTCATTCTCTTTCAATTTTTCTCCAAATTTTTAGCTTCCCAAAAATCTCAATTTCCCAATTCATTGTTTTCAGAAAATCGCCGAAAAGCTATCAGAGGAGTTGAATTCAAAATTCGCTCGCTTCGCCGAACAACAACTTCAAACGGCTTCCCGTAAGTTTTAAAAAAAATTGATTTAAAATTCATGAGGAGCAGATTGAAAAAAAAAGAGAGAGAGAGAGAGAGAGAGAAATTTATTGGGATGGAAATTCAGTAGTTTTTTCGAGTAAACCATCCCGTTGCCCTCCTCCGGCGCGTCTAACAGCTAGTTGGTGCGCCTTCGGCGCAGATTTAACCTTTTTTGAGTAAATAGCTATAGAAGTCGCTACATAAAAACGGGTGTTTCTTAAGACATAGGTATCTTGGAAGCACGAAAATTGGTAGAAATATAATTTTACTTTTGATTCAAAGCTCCTGAATTTTTCAAAGCAACTCCTCAAGTCTAGGTAGTGTTATAATTCTTCAAAGTTGAACGGCGTAACGTTGTAATTTTCATGAGATGAATCAATTTTGACAAGTGATAACGCAACTCAAAGTTGATCAAATAATTCGAAAATTTGCTAGCTTACTGATGAATTATTTGAGTTTTTGTAATTCAAATTTTAGCCCAGTATAACGCCTTGCTCAAATTTTATGCTAGTTCAAAGTTCAAGTAATCATGCGCCACCTTGTACAGATTTTATGATACATGAAGAACCAAACTACGGAATTTGTTGTATTACCTGACATTTTAACCTAAATTTCGTTTATAAAATTTCTAGGTTTCTGGGCTCCAAGCTTTTTAAGATCCATGTTTTTAGGATCACTCTAGATTTTCATAAAAAATAAATCTAAAAATAATTTCATCAAAATTTAGTGATCGTTCGATCTTCGTCTCTCCTATCTCCTCCCCCTTAAAACAGTCTGTCACAAACCATGCCGTGGCGTTGTTGACTGACCAGTATCCATCCCCTATCTTCTCCAAAACATATATCATCGCATTTTCACCTATTTCTCTAGCCACTCTCCAATCGGTACACACTATTTCTTTGTTTTCCATCTCCCCCCACCGATTTCTCGTTTTCCTTCTTCCTTCTTCTCATGCATTCAATGAGTGAGAGAAAAGACAGAAACAAACTTTTTCTGTCTCTCTGTTCTCTCCTCTAAGCCTCTGGGTATTTTTCCTCTTTTTTCATATATCTCTTCTTTTTCGTTTGGGTATTTTTTTTGAGTTGTATATGATGGAGAAAATAGAGAATACATACCGTTAATTTGAGCTCAATTATCTCATTATCTATATGAGATATCAAAAATGCGTCAACTGATAAAATGTTGCTGATATTATGACAAGCATTTTATGAATTAACAGATTTTTGATATCACTTATAGAAATTGAGATAATTAAGCTCAATGTGCAAGTATAGGGTAGATCCAATTATAAGTTGAAAAAGTAATTAAAGTATACTTCTGAACTATATGGACATTGTAGTTTCAATCATTTTTTTTTCAATTCGAAATCCTAAAAACCAGTTTTTTAAAACCATTTCAAATTTCCGTTTTTTTCCAAAACCTAAACCCCTCTCTGCAAATCAAAAAAAAAAGTATTTCCTCCTTCTCTTTTTTTTTTTGAAATTTTCCATACCAAAGACCCGATACTAATCCTACAGGGGGTTGACCTGTCCACAAAGTATTATTTTTTCTTTTTGCAAATAACTTTTTTTTCGATCTACTATTTTTTTTTCCCATCACAATAACGTTGGTTGGTTGTTTTTGATGAGAACACCCAGCCAAGTAAATCTCAATGTTTGCATTATTTTCTTCTCCCTCTTCTTTTTTTTTGAATCGAAAGTTCTCAAGTCCTGTCTTTTCTTTTATTTTTTAAAGAAAAACGATTTTTGTTAGAATAGATTGCTTTGAATTTGAAACTTGAGCTGCTTAAAAAGAGCCCTCGTAACTGAACGGCTCCCTTGACTTTCAACTTTGAGCTCAATTATCTCGATTGCTGTCAAAGATATAAAAAAGTAGTCAACTGGTAAAATGTTTATCATAACACCAGAAGTGTTTCATCAGTTGACCATTTTTTGATATCCTGTACAGAAACCGAGATATATGGGCCCCCAGTGAAGCTATGTTTCCTCCCACACACAAAAATTATTATTAGGAACTCTCTAAATTTCTTCTTCTGGATGTGTTTATTTTTTGGATTTTTAATCGAAACCAACTGAATAAAAAATCTTCTTTCTCTCTTTCTTTTCTATCTCCTTTTCAGCAAACTTTTTCGAAAAAATATTTTCAGAAAATCAATTTTTCAGGTCAATCGAAATCGCTGTCTTCCTTGGAGGCGTGAGTTTTTTTTTCTTGAAATGTTGAGATCAAAGGAAGTTACTGACATTTGAAGTTTAAGCAAATTCTGAAATTCCAAAAATCTGAAAAAAATTATAAATTTCATTTTCTTTAGTATTAATAAATGACAGTAAAACCTGTAATAGAAGGGTCTCCCACCCACACTGTCAAGTTTAAGCTCATTTATCTAGATTCCTGTGAGATATATCAAAAATGTGTCAACTGATAAAATATTATTAAATTTATGAGAAACAATTTATCAGTTGACACTTTAATATCATTCATAGGAACCGAGATAAAAGAAATATACAAAACAAAGCTGGAACTTCATTTTTTAATAAAAACCTACTTTCCAAAAAATACCTCAATTGGGTGTTCTAAAAAAATCGGCTTAACTGACTTTAAAGGCACATACCGTGAACCCTGTAATAGAAGGGCCCCATACTGTCAAGTTTGAGCTCAATTATCTCGGTTCCTGGAAAAGGTACAAAAAAGTTGTCAACTGACAAAATGTAAATTATAGTATCAAAAATATTTCGTCAGTCGACTACTTTTTGATATCTCTCACAGGAAATGAGATACATAGGCTCAAAAATGACGATTTGTGGGACATTCTATAAGAGTGATTCTGGAGTAGGCACCCTAAGACGAGAATCCATTCAATAGAAAACTTTAGGTTTCAGTTCTAATTTTAAAGATGTTGCTTTTTTTCAGATCCTCTCCACTACCAAACCTCGACACTCCTCTCACCGAATCCAGTCATCAATCATCGGTTGTCAGCAAAGCGATCAACGAGGTAAGCGAGAGTAGTAGTAGTTAAAAATCTTGGCGTTTATTGCAAAAATCTCATTTTCTATCAATTAAATTTTATTGGTATAGAATCATTATTCTCTGCTGCAATTACTATTTCTAAACGGTCGGGGCTCATTCTCCATCATGCGCCTTTAAAACGGCTATTGTTCTAAAGTTCGCGTTTTCCATCCATTACCTGTTCCCCTGGGTAAATCATGGGAGAGAGAGAAGAATTTTTTTGGCCATAGATCATAACAATCGGGGGTGAAAAAGAAGGGAAAAATAACAATTTGACAGATGTGAGCGAGTTTTTTCTGGATGCCTAGGAAAGAAGAAAGGTTTATCTTTTTTGGGTCTAATGGAATGCCCCCCTCCCTCCAACTGTCAACTTTGAACCCGTGTATCTCCATTTCTGTGAAAGATATCAAAAAGTTGTCAACTGATAAATTATTTATCATAATATCAGAATTATTTCGTTAGTTGACAACTTTTTGATATATTTCTCAGGAACCGAGATAACTTGGCTGAAAGGGTTCGGTATTCTGAGCATCTCTTTTTCAGAATAGAACTCTAAATTTGAGCTAAACTTGTCAGAAATCTAGACAAAAAAAACTGGAACTGGCGTTCCAATTTTTCCTCTTGTTCTTCTTTTTTCCCCTCTCCTTAAACTTCCTAAATCATCAAAGAACGCCTTCTTTTCAGTCAAGTCTTCTTATAAGCCTCTGAATTTTTTCCAACCAAAACACCCGATTCATCAGTTTGACTTTCAAAAAAAAAGCAAGTTGGAGGGCATACCAGAAGAAATGAACACAACTTTTTTTTGCGTTTGCTTCTTCTATTTTTTTTCTATTTCTAGAAAAAAACATATATTATTTTCATAATCCTTTGCTTTTTTGTTTTTACATGTACCGTAAACACTCTTTTAGAAGGCTACATACATCGTCAACTTTGAGCCAACATATCTCACTTCTTATAATAGATATCAAAAAGTAAGTAACAAATAAAATGTAGCCGATATCATGATAAACATTTTGTCAGTTGACAACTTTTTGATATCTTTTACAGAAACCGAGATATACGGAATCGAAGTTGGCCGTTAGGGTGGCCTTCTAATTGAGTGTACACGGTAATATCTCTTAGTTTTTGTTGCGTTTTTAAAGGATTTTTTTGAATGTCAGGTTTAAATTGGTCCTGAAAACTCCACGATAATTCACTTCGATCATTTGAACGCGATTTCTGAAAATCTATTACTAGTTCGATCACACTCTTTTTTTGCAATTCCTTAGCACGTTTTTTTTTTCAAATCTTCTGGCCCGTTTTTTGGCTTCATTTTTGGTGTCATATGAGAAACCATATTTGTTTCAAATCTCTTTTTTCCTATTCCAGACAAAATTGCGTCATTTACGACCTCCTTCAGAGAGAATTCTAGGATTTTTGTGTGCAAAACAAAACACAAGCAGAACAACCGTAAAAGAAGGTCCCTCAACACTATTCAGTTCAGGCTCAATCATCTCGATTCCTATGCCAGATATCAAAAATGTGTCAACTGATAAAAAATTTCTGATATTATGATAAATAATTTATCAGTTGACAACTTTTTGAAATCGTTTACAGGAACCGAGGTAATCGAGCTCAAAGTTAATGTTAGGGGCCCTTCTAATAGAGGTTATGCAGTATAAATTTTGGTCATTGTTTCAATGTGATCAGAACCTACTTGTAGTTTAGATTTTAGTTTGGATATGTGCCAAGCTACGCCCATCAGTGGTGTTAAGAGAGATAGAAGGGGGCACACACGCAGTCATGCGTTATGTCAGATTTTTGAAAAATTTTGAAGAATTTTGAAGAAATTTAACTTTCACATTAGCTATCTTGTTTCTCAGTAACAACGGCTTACTAAGGAAATTAGGAAAATTCCAAAACACAAATTCCAGGATTCCATACACCCTTATATACCTTTAGTGGCATTTGCAGAGGCAGAGAAATTCATCATCCTTGGCTATATACACATACATCTCATCTCATTTTCTCTCTCTCTCTCTCTCTCTCTCTCTCTCTCTCTCTCTCCTTGTTTATCCCGCGAAGTATTCTTGGGGCGTTTTTCGCCTTCTGCGTTTCCATCATACTTTTCCATCCCTAAAATGTCTCATTTTCTCTCTTTTTCTAGCCCCCCCCCCCCATGCCCATATACAACAAATCGAGCCCGCCCGTACTGCTACTCTCTTATCTCGTTTTTTTTCGAATTTTTCTCCTCTCTTGCTCACCTCTTCAAATATTTTTCAATACCTATCTAACAATTTTATTCTTTTCATAGCTTAGAAGTATTAGAATTATTTATATTTGCAAGCGGCCAATAGTTCTAGGATATCTCTTGTTAGTGTGCGGGGCTTATATTGGCATAGGACATGGGATTAGGAATGATGCTAATCCGACGGGTTTCTTGGAAAAAAATAAATTAGTTTTCGAAAGATTTAGACTTTCGCATTCAGAATTTTGTGCTGTGCTCAAATTACTTGAGTCAAGTATCACTCTTTCATCCTTTCATCGCCGTATTACCTATTTGTATCCAGACCGTCAACTTTGAGCTCAATTATCTCGGTTCCAGTTTGGGTGAAATTCGTTATTTTAGCATTAAATGCGGTATGCCGAAAAGCACTTTTCTAGGATTTTCAGAAAATTTTTCGTTTGACAAAAAAGTGCAATACCCAGGTTTATCATAAATCGAATTCTGAAAATCTAAAGTTTCTATTTTCGGCGGTCCAAGTTAGGCAACTTTCTTTGTGCATACCGTAATAGCTGAAAAAGAAGGGTCCACTGACTTTGAGCTCTATTATCTCGGTTGCTATGAGAGATATCAAAAAGTTGTCAACTGATAAATTACTCGTCATAATATCAGTAACATTTTAATAGTTGACAAGATTTTAATATCGCTCACAGTACCCGAGATAAATGGGCTCAAAGTTAGAAGACCCTTCTATTACAAATTGCCGGCTTTCCGTGTGCATATCTCTTTTTAGTGACACTTCTCAAAAAAGTTGTCAACTACAAAAATGAAGCTCTATTCTTGTTTTGTGTACTCCGGGAATTTCAGCTGGATTGGTGAGATTTGAAGCTTAATTTCCACTTAATTTCCATCCGGACTGCAATAACTGGAAGAACCTCAAAATTTCCATAGAGCGCATTTACTGACTTACTTTCCAGCTTCCAAGATTTTCCTAATCATTGATTTCTACGTCTCCTTCTTCTTCTCCTAAACCAAAGATAACATTTAATTTTGGTTCAGAGAATCTCTTCATCGTCCCTTCTCGTCGTAGACTACTAATCAGTTTGTCTCTGCGTCTCTCTCATCTCCCCACACTATCTCTAATTTTTCGTTCCTTATCCCTTCTTCGCCTTCTTCTTCTCAACTAATTTGCCTAGTCTCCTCGTTTTCTTCCTATTTTTTCCGCAATGGTTTGTTTCTCGAAGAAAAAGAAGAAGCTATGGGATGAGAGCAGATGAAGAAGCGCGAAGCTCCGCCCCTTTTTTGTGCTAATAGGAAGAAGAAGAAAGGGATTAGAGAAGGACTGGAGCACTTCTTTTTCTACGTATTCTTCTATGCAAATCCCGAAAAAAAAATTCTAGAAGAAGAAGAAGAATGGTAAAAAAAAGAGTTTGTTCTTCTTTTTTTTCGCCACCGAGTGAGAGGGGAGGGGCGCACCGGACCGAATCCAATTTCATTTTCTTTTTTTTTTTTGCGCACCACTCGACCTTTTTCCTTTTTCTTCTTTTTCCCATTTTCCCTTTTCTTAAATTGGAAGAATTCCGCCTTTTTTAGGTTTTTAGGAGAATCCGGAATTACGAATTCTGGAAAATTCGATTTTCAGAAATTATCCGTAGAGCGCATGTGGTGTACTGTGAAATTTTAAATTGCTTGATTTTGTCCAGAAAATCATGTAGATTCCCATAAAAATAGAGACAAATTCAAAAAAAAGTTAGTTGAGAAAAAAAGTTGTAAGTCATTAGGGACGAGCTGGAGTTTTCTAGTCCCCCGCCGCGCGGCCAGCATGCGAAAATTTCGTTTTTTTTTCAGGTTTTCAGTGTTTTTTTTCAGGTTTTCAGTGTTTTTTTTCAGGTTTTCTAGAGGTTTTCCGAGGTTTTTGTTAATTTTTCAGCTAGCATATTTCGAAAAAAACTTGAAAAAAAAACTTTTTAAAACCTATCTTTCAAGGTTTTTAAAAGTTTTTTTCAGGTTTTTCCAGTTTTTTTCGGAATATTCTAGGTGAAAAATTAACAAGAACTTTATTAAAACCCTTTAAAAAACCTTTAAAAAGCTGAAAATCAAGAAAAATTCAAATTTCGCCGGCTAGCCGCGCGGCGGGGGACTAGAAAACTCTAGCTCGTCCCTAATGGCTTACAGCGTTTTTTCTCAATTAAATTTTTTTTTTGAATTTTTATCTATTTTTATGCGAATCTACATGATTTTCTGCACAAAATCAAGCAATTTTAAATTTCACCCTACACCATATTCGCTCTATGAATAATTTTTGAAAATTTCGAATTTCGGAGAAAATGCGCTCTATAAATCACCTTGATCCCGCCCCATTTTCCATGCAAATGTCCAAAAATCTAAAAATGTCTAAATTTAGCTCTCTATCTCATTAATTTTCATGCACCGCAGAGCCTCGGCTCCAGAAGGCGTGAAAATCGTATTCAAGAAAAATAAATGAAAAGCTCATTGAAATTTCGCTTTGTCTTCTGCTTCCTGAAGCTCAATTTATTTATTGATCTCATCTTTTTTTTTTCCGTCTTTTCACCCCCTTCGTACAAGAAGCTCCTTCTTCTTCTTCTTCTTCTCATTTCACTCATTTTCCGTGTGAGCGAAAAAGAAAAAAAAAATGCAAAAACGGAGAAAAAAAAACCAAGATTAGTGTGTCTCTCCCTTTTTTGGCCTGAGGGCGGCGCACGCAACATTTTTCCCCAGCCGCTGACCCCTCTTCTCTAGTCCTCACTGGACAGATTATCACTTTTTTTGCATAAAGAAACTTTTTTTGTCGGGTTTCTTCTTTTTTTGTTTGCTGATGTCATATCCTTTTAGAAATCCTTGGAAATCAGCAAAAAACGTTTCTCTCGATCAATTTTTGTCAATTGTTCGTCAGTTGTAGCGCCCTATCTGCAATTTTTTCCTACCGTGTTTGCGTACCTGTTCGCTTACAAGTAGCGCGAATTCAAATTAATTAAATTTCACCTAATTTTTAAAATCAATTTCAGGTTCTATCATGTCTCCGGCCAGAAGAAGTTCCTCACTTCCGCGAAATCATCAAAAAATACAATTCGGGTGAGGCGAATGTAAAGATTTTCGCGCAGAAGCTCGTCGAACTTCTCGGTCCGACTCGAAAAAAGCGGCTTTCATGTGAGTCTTTTTCCACTTTTTTTTTGGACAATAAAATTTCCTTTCAGACCTCAAACATGTGTTGAGAGCCGACGACATTCGACAATTCGACGCCGCGATTCTATAGAAAAGCGGAAATTAGAAATTTCAAAAATTTTTTGATTTTTTTTTCTGTTTTTAGCTTTTTTAGCTCAAGCAGTAGAGCAGCTCAAAAGCCCATTATCTCTACTTTTTCCCTTTTTTTCAAATTTTTTCTCAATTTACCTCTCCAATTTTCTTTTAATTATCGTTCCTCCCTCCAAAAAAAACAATAAAACTCAAATTCTCTTTTTTCCAGACCCAAAATCTTCGGAACCCCACCGCCATAGAAGCCAGCAGTTCCACCAGACACCCAAACCTCAAAAAGCACCCGAAAACGAAGCGAAAAATGAGCTCGACGAGCCGTCCGTCGAGTGGCAACAGTGCCGCTGGTGGCGGTGGAAGCGGTGCCGGAAGTGGCGGCGGCGGAGGTGGCATTCGTGGATTCTTCTCGAAACTTCGGAAGCCTTCGGATCAGGTCAACGGATCTCAGCAGGTTGGTAGTACAAAGGTACGCATTTTTGAAGAAATTTTTGACTGGCAAGGTGTGGCTCATTTGGGTATTTGTAGCTTTTTTACGGCTTAGAAATATACAAAAAAAGTCAGATTGGTCTGCTAATTATTTAGCAGACCAATGTTTCTAGTTATTATGCAAATCAGAAACATTAGCAGGCCTACGAGACGCAGAGAAAAATAATGTTTCGCGCGTCTAAAACATTAGCAGACCTCTTTTCTCTGTGTCTCGTTGATCTGCTAATGTTTTGGGTGTGCCAAATAATTATCAGACCAACGAGACGCAGAGAAAAGTGGTCTGCTAATGTTTTGGTGTGCGCAATAATTAGCAGGCCAATGCCTCTTAGGCCTGCTAAATATTCTTTTCTCTGCGTCTCATTGGTCTGCTAATGTTTTTGACGTGCAAAATAATTAGCAGGCCTACGAGACGCAAAGAAAAGTAGTCTGCTAATTATTTAGCAGACCAATCAGAGTTTTTACAATGCCTTCCGGATGATTTTCGAGATCAATACCCCATATTTTTCTCATTAAATTCCTCTTCTTCTTGCAAACTACTGAGCCAACTGTCTCATGTCCCTCCCCCACCAACTGGGTGATCACATCATGTCAAAGTGTCATGTTCATTTCATTTCTTTTTTCTTTCTCTCCCTGGGGCCATCATCAACACAAAAATATTTGTGGATTTTTTTTTCTGTTGACCTCAAATCTAGAAGCAGTATTCCATGATGTATCAGCAGGTTCCAAAAGTCTATGTGAGTTTTTTTCGAATTTTTGAGGTTTCAATGAAAAGATTTACCTGAAAAATAGATTCCACGTGGCATTGGACTTTGGAAAGCGCCTTTAAAACTACAGTACTATGATTCCCAAATTTCCTATGGTTTTTTTTTCAATTTCTCGCATCACTGCCGATTTTGAATTCAAAAAAACCTTTTTTTTCAATTTATTTTTTTTTGCAAAAAATAATGAAATCAACCGAACACAAAAGGGTCTCAATTTTCTGTCTCTCTCGCTCTCTCTGCTAATAGGATTTTCTTCAATTTTCCCTCTCATTTTCAGCCGTTTTTTCCGCATTTGCAGAGCTAGATTTTTTGTTCCACCCCAAAAAAACGAATAGATTAAAAGAGGCCGATAACAGTTAGGTTTCGCCTCGTTTTCAATGTTTTTTTTGCTGTTCAAATGCTATTATAGAGATAAGGTGCTCCATTTTTCTGGCTCTTTTTTGGTTTTTCGAACTCTATTCTTCCATTTTTATTTCGAAAAATGGGTCTGCTATTGTTTTTGGCGCGCGAGAACATTAGCAAACCAACGAGACGCTGAGAAAAACACGCCAAAAGCATTAGCAGACCCACTTTTCTCTGCGTCTCGTGGGTCTGCTAATGTTTTTAACATGCAAAATAATTAGCAGACCACTTTTCTCTGCGTCTCGTTGGTCTGCTAATTATTTAGCGCGTTTTTAGCTCTAAAGCGGTGTTTTTTTCAAATTTTTTCAGCTAAGTAATGTCTTAAAATGCCTCATTTTCTTTACTCATTCAAATCAAAATTTTAATTTTAGGCCCCGTCCCTTTCTCCTTTCTCTTCCAAAGTTTCGAAAATCACCTGACCTACCTCTGTGTTTTGTTTTTTATTTAATAGTGTCACTTTTTATTTTCTGTGTCAATAAAGAAAAAATGAGAAAGTGGATGGAAAACAGTGCCCAACTTTCATTACGCCCCCTTTTCTACTGATTTTTTACTGAAATTTCCCTGACTTTTAGGTTTTGAGCTGGAGAAAAATTGAATTCTCGATCTTTTGATTATTTTTATTTCTTTTCTCGTCGCCTAGATTTTTCTAGGAAAATTTGATTTCCTAGACAAAGTGGTTGTGAAAAAATAAGATTAAAAATAAAAGGTTTTGGGAGAATTTTATTTTTTGAGAAATTTGGAAATTTTGAAGATTCGAAAATTCTAAAACCTCGATTTTTTTAAATTGAAAAACAAATATTTTATATCCGGATTTTCAAAAATTCCAAGTTTTTCGAATTTTTAGAAATTCCTATTTTTTCGAATTTTCCGAAAATTCGGAGCTTTTCCGAATTTTCGAATATTCCGATTTTTCGGAATTTTAACAATTTCAATTTTTTCAGTTTTCCGAAAAATCCGATTTTTTCGAATTTTCTGAAGTTCTAATTTTTCAGAATTCACAGAAATTTCAATTTTTCAAAATTTCCAAAAAATCTTAATTTTTCCGAATTTTCTGAAATTCCAACTTTTTCGAATTAGCTGAAAATAGGGATTTTTGGAAATTCGAAAAATCGAAAAATTCTATTTTTTTTTAATTTTAAAAAAGTCCATTTTAGGCGGATTTTCAAAACGCTAGACAAATTTGAATTTTCCATTTTTAAAATTTGAATTTTCCATTTTTTCGATTTTCCATTTCCAGCTGAAAGTTTCCAGCTGAAAATTTCCAGTCTGCTGACTAATTTTCAGAATCCCTTCGCCGAAAAAAAAAATTCAGCTCTACCTTCTGAATTTGTGTTTTCCTTCCGTGTTTTTTCCCCACAATCCAACCCAATTTTCCTCATTTCCTTGTTTTTGTCTTCTACTTACTCTTAATTTTCACATGCCTGGTTGGATCTTCTCAAAAAAAAAAGCAATTAAGCCAAAAAAATGGCTCCGCCCCCTCAATTTTTCATATGAACACAAATAGGTTTTTTTGTTGCTTTAGGCTCTCTAGGGCTCTCTCAAGGTCCCACACTATTTTTTCGAAGAAAAGAAAATTGGGGAAAATTGAACGGTCATAACAAGAAAAGAGAGAGAGAGTTCGTTGAACACATTTTTTCCTTCAATTTTCGCAGAATTCGTTATCTAGATGTCCTTGTGGATGTGTTCTTCTTTAAAAGTTTCTTTAAAAGAGCGTCTGGAATTTGGAAATGTTCATTTTAGAAATCAAAAAAATCAGATCGGTGACCTGGTGATTGATCGGCTGGAAGTTCTGAATGGTCTAGCAGTTCAGAAGGTCTAGAAGGTTCAAAAGATTATACAGTACTTTCTCTAATAGGAGCCCACCCAAGCCGTCAACTTTGAGCTCAATTATCTAGCTTTCTGTGGGAGATATACAAATTTTGTCAACTGACATATCTGTTGACAAAATTTTGATATCTCTTACAGGAATCGAGAGCTTCTATTAGAGGGAATACGGAATACGGTACTTAATCTTTTTGAATCTTCTTGAAATTTTCTCTTCAATTCTATTTCCAGAAACTAGGCTTTTTCTCACTTGTTGTCATCCAGTAAACAAGATTTTACGATCCCCCTTTTAGAGCCTTCTTTTTCTCTCATCCATATCAGATGGCAAAAATTCAGGAATTCAGATTCAGAAGCACCCCTCCCTCCCACGTCTTCTTGTTTTCATGTTATTCTGAAAAACCGAATTGTGTTCTTTTCTTCTTATTTCTCGCCTAGGAATTCAGGAAAAGAAGAAGGAGCATTTTTTGAAAAGGCACCTGTCAGCGGCTCACTTGATTTCCTGGCCAAGCTTTTGTGTTCCAATTTGCTTCAATTTTTGCGATTTCCTGGTGACATCAGAAAAGAAAAGTGGGCAGAGCTTGGAGGTTTGAGGATCTGAACGGATCTAGGTCAGCGAGATCTTTAGGTTTCGATGATTTTTAGATACCTCATCTTGGATTCTCAGATTTTCAGATCCTGAGATTCTTAAAAAATTCTTGGACCCCCAACTTCAAGTCTCCTGATTTCTAGATTCTCGATTTCCAGAATGTCCAGGCTTTCAGTTTCCTGATTTTCAGATTTCTCTTCATGGATTTTCAGATTTTTAGAATACTTGAATTTTCGGATTCCCAGATTCTTACTTACCGTAATTCTTCTGATAGAAGCCCACCCTGGCCGTCAAACCTGATCTCAATTATCTAGGTTCTTATCAGATACATCAAAATTCTTTCAACTGATAAAATGTTGCTGATATCATGATAAACATTTTATCAGTTGACAATTTTTTGCTACCTTTCACAGGAGCCGAGATAATTGAGTTCAAAGTTGAAGGTCCTGGTAGGCTTCTGTCAGAGAAAATAGGGTAGATTTAAAAGATTCTTGGATTTCTTAATTTCTTAATTCTAGTGACTGAGCTCTTCCGGATCCCTAGATTCCACTCTTTTCAGATTTTCCAGCACAGATTTTGAGCATAATCCTTCTAGAATCCTGTCAATTAAAACTTCTTAATTCATTTTTTGTGTCCCAGTCGTCACACAGGCCACCATATGTTACTTACAGTCGTCGTTTGACCTCTTCACATCACAGTCTTCTTTTCATATCATTTTCTTCTTCTCCTTCTGCAAGTAGTTGTAGTTGGTTACCCAATTCATTTTTCTTCTTTTCTTCCTTGTCAATTTTTCAATACATATATTTTTATATATATTTCTTTTCCGATTCTTGTTTACTATAAGAAGAGGAGAAAAGTATTTGGTTCAAAAAGATCCAGAGACATGTGCTGGAAATTTAATCCGCTCAAGGCATTGCGCATCGTTGAGGTAAGACTTTTTGAAAAGGTTACTGTAACTTCCTTTTTCTGAATCTGCAGTATCCTAGTTTTGTATAAATTTGGACTTTAAATTGTAAGAACTCATTTTAGAGTTCTGCAAATTGAATTTATTTTTCGTACTGTAAACGCTCTAATAGAAGCCGCTCCGAATCGTCAACTTTGAGCCGTTATATCTCGGTTCATTTAAAAGATATAAAAAATTTGTCAACTGATAAAGTGTTTTCCATAATATCAGAAATATTTTATCAGTTGACAGATTTTCCATATCTCTCATAGAAATCCAGATAATTGGGCTCAAAGTTGAGGCTATGGGTAGGCTTCTTTCAAAGGGAATACGGTAAATTTGGAATTTGGATTTCACGCCTCTACTATAGATTTCTGCAGTTTGGATACTTCTTGATGTTCTCTAAATATCTAAATTTTCAACAAAAAACTGTCTCAAAAGACGTTTCTAAATAAAATTGATAAACCAAAAAATTGTTACAACGGGGACAGTTTCTTTTTTGACATTGATTTGTCTTGAACGGTCTAAAGACCTTTGATTTATTGTCGGCAGATTATTGTGGGCAATAGTAGAGGCTTTACATGAATTTCTGCTTTTTGGCGGATTTTTGAATTTTCCAGATTTTGGAATCGTCTAGATTTAGGCTAAATAAAGGAATTCTGAATGCTTTAAAATCATTCTGGAGGATTCTGGGATATTCTGAAGGCTTTGGTAGCTTACTTGAGCTCCCAGATTCGTGGAATCATGCACTCCAGGCTCGCTGATTCCCAAACTTTTGGATCACCGTAAAACCTGTAATAGAAGGACCCCCAAACTTTGATCAAAATTATCTCAGTTCCCGTGCAAAATATCAAAAATTTGTCAACTGATAAAATGTTTGCGATATTATGATAAAATTTTATCAGTTGACAACTTTTTGATATCTTCGACAGGAATCTAGATGATTGAGCTCAAAGTTTACGGTTTGGGAGCCCTTTTATTACAGGTTTACGGTAAATGCCAAGTTTAAATTTGGATTCTCCTTCATCTTTCGACCCCTGGAATGGCTTCAGTTCAATATAAACCTTCCCCTCCTGGACCAAACAGCGTCCCTTGCTCATTAGGTTTCCTCAAGCCCATCGTAAATTATCCAGATTTCTTCTCATTTTGAAATCCAATCCCTTCCATAAAATAGGTTTAGCTAGGAATATTGTTGTTTTCAGTCAACCCCTCTCCCCCTGGCAGTAAAAAAGCCTCGGAGACCTTCCTTGCTAAAATGTCCGAGATTCTTCTTTCTGCCTAATTAGCGTTAGAGTAGTCACACTCAGGAGATCTGTAATATTTACATACTTGATCAACCTCCTCTTTTTTAACAAAAAATGGATGGAGTGACAGCGCGAAAAAAGAAGAAGCTTCTTCCCGAGAGCACGACGACGGCTCTCGTTTAGCCCTAGGGAGAGGTTGATTTTGTGTGCAAAAAAAATGAAGGAATGAGCAATGGACTGCGACAAGAGGAATAAAGAGGAGAAGAGGAAGAAGAAGACAATAGAGGGGTCAAACATCGAGAAATTGAGAAAATTGGTTGAAATTTATATGGAGAACCTCTTTTTTCTTGTCATGGAGTGTTCAATGGTTCTTTGAATTACATAGCAGAGCCTGAAAGCCTAAAAAGCCTAAAAAGCTTAGAAAGCCAAGTCATCACGATCTTGAAGCTGGAAATAAGGGAACTGGCTAGCAAAGTATGAATGCCTAACATGCCTATATAGTTTAGAAAGCCATGTCTTCACTATCTGGAAACTGGAAATGAGAACCACGCATTGAAGTTTGCCTGTTAAGGATATGAAATCACAGGACACAGTCTGACAACCTGAACTCCTCAGAAATCACCTACGGAATTTCTGAAAATCGCTGGCGGGAGACAAGGAGCTCTAGAAGCTCTGATTGTTGCTCCCTGTCGTCAGCTGGATCGGGTCCAGTAGATCCCAAATGGTTCCAAACATCGAAATCGATGTTCCCAAGATTCTGAGGATCTTACGGGTTCACCTAAGAAGACCTGAACCTCAGAAACCATTGATGGAACTCCGGAAAATCAGGATCAGGCTCTAAAGACTGGATTTGAAGAATTTTGAATTTCCTGATAAAATTTCTTATTAGGGTTCTCGATCTTCCACTAGATCAGATCCAGTGGATCCCAAACGGTTCAAAGCTTTAAAATTGATTTTTTGAAAGTCGTCTAGAAGATCTTTCTGGTTCCGTATTCTTGAAATGATCCTAATAATCTTGGTCCTAGATTTAAGAACCACCCTGAAAGAAGGGTTGAGATCTTCCTGATTTCGGGTTCCTAGAAGGATCCAGACCATCTGCCCCAGATGATCTAGGGGACTACCCTAAAAGAGATCTCTGAAAACAAATCACAAAACGTGCATTTGTTTGTCTTGGACCTAAACTAGGAGCTCCACTTCTCTCCACGGATGGGAAATCTAATCAGTAATATTTGTTATTCCGTTTCCACCTGTTCATTTTTCAATTTTCCCTTCAATTTGGAAATTCCAATTGTGCTGAGAATCAAGTCAGAAGGGACCTAAGAATATTGGGTCGAGATACTATCAAATTGTCCTCATCAAAAAGAAAAAAAAGAAGAAATTAAGCTTCCTTCTCGCTATCTATTTCGGTGCACCCCACACACGAAAAACTCAACAAACTACACTCAATTCGGTGATGTGTGACATGTGATGGAAGACAGAATTCACGTGATTCTTGTAATCAGTTCGTCGGGAAAGGTTGAAAAACTGATCTTGTCTGATTTGGAAGGATCTAGGTCTCCGACTTCTGGAGCTATTCTTCTTATGAGCTAGCCTATAGACTTCAAGAATGGGGAGAGAATTCCTTGATCTTTTGGCTCCTCGAGTCTGCCTAGACCCCAGACTATTCAAAAAAGAAGAACATTGAAAACAATGTTACTTTCCAAGACACTTCTTCACTGACCGCCATCCTCTATATGATGGCAAAAAACCCGCGTGATTTGTCTGTCTCTCCACACAGTACATCCGAAAGAAAAAAACAGAGACTGCTTCTCTGCGTCTCTCCAATCCATTTATCTCTCTCTCGGCACAACACAAATGTTTGTGTGAGTGATGAGGCGCGATTCTGCGGCACAGATGAGAGAGAGACAGAGAGAGCAGCGAAGCGCAGACAGCGAGAAAGGAGCACACAATTTTTGCAGAAAGCCAGCGGACCATTGAAGCTCTTTCTGTTTGTGTATGCGCCACGTTTTTTGCTCTCTTCTTTTTTCCGCCTTTCCCTACAAGAGAATATATAGCAAGCACAACTCAAAAAGTCCTCTTTTCCCTTCTTCTTCTTCTTCTTCTCCATCAATTAACTGTTGAGAAAAAAAAAGAAGAAGAAGAAGGGCGAGAAGTGGGCGGAGTCAGTTTTCCTGTGCGTTGCAACACACACTCTCTTTGGTCACATAGACACACAGACTAACACATTTTTCTTCACTTTTCCGCTAAAACTGTATATTCTGAATAGTTCGCTCAGAGCTCGTTCTCGTCTGGGTATGTACGGATCCAGTCGACACCATCTTGACTCGTTCTCGTCGAATGATGGTAACGCGTTTCTGGTGAGTTCTCCTTGTGTGTGTGTGACGTGGCGTTGAGAAGGAATAGAAAACAAAACGAATTAGGGGGTCCCTGGGAAGAGAAAAAAAACATCAAAAGGAACGAATTTTCGACTGGGTCTGACAAAACAACATGTTTTTGATGAGATGGGTCGAGTTGTTCCGCTTTTTGTGGAATTGCAGAGCAATGAAAAAGTGAATTTCTAAATGAAGCTCGGGAGCTCAAGGGACAGAATTCAAAAGATTTTCCAATTCCGGAATTTTGAGCTGCTTCCAATAATCTGAACCATCCGATTTCTGAACAGGTGGCTTTTCGGGATCATCAGAAATAATCGCTAACTTGGTCAGATCTTAGAAGCTAGCTCGGCTAGACCTTAGTAGCTAGCTTGATCATATCTTAGTAGCTGTTGGTCAGATCTGAATAGCTAGCTGTTGGTCAGATCTGAATAGCTAGCTCTCCATGCCTAGTTTCTGGAGCTTATTTTGAACTGTTTCTGACTTTATGGTCCTGTCGATCTTGCTCAACTTTCCATCTGATTGAAAGCTTCAAAACTCTAGAAGACCGATCTTATGACGAATGTTCAGTCTCTTCTTCTTCTCCTTCTTCTTTGTTCTCTTCCGCCGCTCAATCAAATCAAAAAGTTGGCGAAACTTCTCTTCTCCCGTCTCGAAAAGAATAACTTTCTGGTTTTTGATCGGGGTCGTTGGGAACGAAAAAGTATGTCCCGTTGCCTTTCTATATTTCTTATCAATACACACACTCTCCTTGAAATTGACACAAAAAGAGGAGTCACTTTTCGAACTGTCTTAGATCGGAGAACAGAATGTTTGATGATGTTTCTTTGAAGAAGAAGAAGAAGAAAAAGAAACTGTAGTTAATAAAAATCGAAAAGAACGAAATGTGATAAGAAAGGACGACGAAATGGGATTCCCTATGGGGGTTTTATTGCCTTTAAAGGTTCACATATTGGTGTACTTTGAGTGGAAAAGAGAGCCAGCCAAGCCAATTTCCGATTACCAGGAAATCATTTCCCGGATAAAAGGACCCGATTCCCCCAATCTCATATTACGAATTTCCAGGTGCAAGTCGGCTCGCGAACGTTCGAAGCTCACGAGCTCCAGAAGCTGATTCCACAACTCGAGGAGGCGATATCAAGGAAAGATGCGCAGCTTCGACAGCAGCAATCCATCGTCGAGGGACACATCAAACGGATTTCGGAGTTAGAAGGAGAGGTCACCACACTTCAGGTAGGAAGGGTCCTCTAACTTTGAGCCTATATATCTCGGTTACTGTAAAAGATATCAGACATATTTCAACTGATAAAATGTCACTGATGTTACGATGAACAATTTATCAGTTGACAAATTTTTTGTATCTTTGACAGGAATCGAGATAATTGAGCTCAAAGTGACGGTATCTAAAAATTCATGGTTTGGACAAAATGTCGTTTTTCAGAGAGAATGCGACAAGCTTCGCTCCGTTCTCGAGCAGAAAGCCCAGTCGGCAGCTAGTCCCGGACAACCGCCATCACCATCGCCACGCACCGATCAACTTGGCAATGATCTGCAGCAGAAGGCCGTGTTCCCAGCCGACGGTACTCAACAGCGTGCCAAGAAGATCGCCGTGTCCGCGGAGCCGACGAATTTTGAGAATAAGCCAGCCACACTGCAACACTACAATAAAACTGTTGCGTAAGTTTTCTTTTGTACCTGAAACTGACAAAACCCTCTGAAAATTTCAGCGCCAAGCAGATGATACGCGATGCCGTCCAGAAGAACGACTTCTTGAAGCAATTGGCTAAGGAGCAGATCATTGAGCTCGTCAATTGCATGTACGAGATGCGTGCTCGCGCCGGGCAATGGGTGATTCAAGAGGGAGAGCCGGGGGATCGTCTTTTCGTTGTTGCTGGTAAGCGGTTTGGATTTTTGAGCGATTTTCGAGCTATTTTTCGAGCGATTTTCGAGCTATTTTTCGAGCGATTTTAAGCGATTTTCGAAGCGCGTTTTTCGTAAAATTTCGAACCAAAACTAAAAACACTACAGAAACTACAGAATCTAGCATTTAAAAATATGCCAAAAATAGTCCAAAACTGCTAATGGAAGCCCCCCCCCCCTCGATTCCTGTGAAAGATATAAAAATTTTGTCAACTGATAAATTGCTTATTTTGATATCAGGAACATTTTATCAGTTGACAGAATGTTGATATCTCTTACGGGAATCGAGATAATTGAGCTCAAAGTTTACTGTATTTCCTCTAATAGAAGCCCACTCAACACGTCCACTTTGAGCTCAATTATCTCAGTTCCTGTAAAGGATATCAAAAACCTGTTAATTGATAAAATGTTCTTCATGATATTACCTATATTTTATCAGTTGATACATGTTTGATATCATTAACAGGAGACGAGATAACTGAGCTGCAAAATGATGGTTTACGTAGGCTTCTATTAGAGAGAATACTGTACCAAAGATGTCAAAATTATCCCGAAGCTCGGTCAGTTTTTTCTTCTTTTGACTAAAAAGGGTCGAATTTAGCAGCTAATTGAAATATATAGCTAAATTTATAGCTTATAAAAACAACATTTTTAGCTAGAAATATTTCAAATTCGCTTCAAAACATTTGAAAACCTAAAAAATCAATTTTCAGAGGGAGAGCTACAAGTGTCTCGCGAGGGAGCCACTCTGGGCAAGATGCGTGCTGGAACCGTGATGGGAGAGTTGGCCATCCTCTATAATTGTACAAGGTTAGTTTTCTTGAAGGATTTTCAGAATATTTTCAGATTTTCCGCTAACTTTTTGTGACTTTTCTTATAAATCTAAAAACAAAAATTACTTGTAGACTATGATAGTCTGGCTATGAGGAAGTTTGTCTTGACTCCTAGCACGGTAACCAGAAACAGTCAAAATGAAATTGATCAAATTATAGACATATCGGTGTCTCTTGAAGACACTTTTCTCCCATCTATCTTCAATTGAAATCAAAAAATAAGAAATTTAATTGAAAAAGAAACAGTTTCGAGAGAAAAATGTGGGTGTATGGTGATGATGATCAGATGGTATAGAAGAAGAGGTGATTTATTTGATATCACCTCTTCAATCTATCACTTTCTCCTCCTCCGAAAGATTTGATAAGATATCAAACACACCTAGTTTTCTACACTTTCACTTTGAATGTTTATTTTTAGCACCGATTTTTGAGAATTTTGGAGAGCTTGAGCCCCTCTAGTAGATAGAAGCCCACCCAAAGTGTCATCTTTGAGCTTAATTATCTCAATTCTTAGGCAAGATATCATAATGTTGTCTACTGATAAACTGTTACTGATATTAAGATAAACAATTTATCCGTTGGCAATTTTTTCATATCTTTACCCGGAATCGAGATGATTGAGCTCAAATGTGACGGTTTTAGAGCGTTCCTATTAAAGGAAGTACCGTAGCTTAACCTAGTTCATCTCAGTACAAAGAAGCTCTCCTTTTTTGAACCCCTTCTTTGCTTTTGATGTTTCCAGAATTTCTAATTTCATCCATTCAGTTCTCTACCTAGAGTCTAGGACCTGCAGATCCTTCTCTCTGCAGCATTACATAAGTTTCTATGTTATTGGAAATCTATTTCGAGCGCATCATCCGAACCAAATGCTTCGTCCAAATGCCAATATCTCTCAGTACCAGTGACCTTCATGTTATTGACTTATGATAGTTTGTCTGGAGAAACAGAGAGAACTTATAGTTGCTCCAGTACTTAAACTTATCCAAGTGATTTAGATTTTCCAGTTCGTGGAGCATCGTTAGTTAGCTATCTAGCCTGTTAGGTAGTTAACTAGTTAGTTAGATATCTAGCTCAGTTATCTAGACACCTAGCTGGTTATCTATCTATCTATCTAGTTAACTAGCTAGTTAGCTATCTAGTTATTTAGCTATTCAGCTTGTTAAGTAGCTAGTTAGCATGTTATCAGGTTAGCTCGTTAGCTCGTTAGCTAGCTAATTTAGCTAGTTAGCTTGTAATCTAGTTAGCTAGCTTATGGCCCTGCATCTTTTGCTCTGCTAGCTCTGGACCCCATTAAAATTAATAGGCGTATTTTTCCCCATTTCCTTACGTCACACACAAATTTCACAAAAAAACACATGATGGCAATTAACAAGCACACCCCCCCTCTCCTCCCCATAAATCGTCCGTGTTCTGTCTACTAGCTGTGTTAGATCTCTAAAAATTTGTGTCAAAATCATTTCTATCAAAATCAGTCGTCACCGATTTTGTATCATTTTTCGTTGCCCAATAAGAACCTGCTTCTGTTTCTGATGATGACCGTTCGATGTTTGCTTCTGTTTCTTTTTTTGTATACTTCTCACTTCTTTCATCCTGGCCATCAATCTAGAATTTTACCTCTTTTTGAGGTTTCTACAACAAAGAAAAGAGACTTCTTTTGCGTTCCTCTCCAAACACATTTTATCACTTTTTGTCCTCATTTAACGGTTTAGGGGGCTGCTGCAGTTTCTTTTGCTTCACTGGTCACTTTTTAAGGGTTTCAAGGGCGCCGACTGATTGTGGTCATGTGAAGAAGAAGACGACGACGGTGATAGTGCGTGTTGATTCTGATGATGATGTTTCTATTCGTGTTTTGATTCTTGTTTTACCTGGAAAGGTTCCTGTCAACTTTGTGCCAGTTTATCTCGGTTACTGTAGGAGATATCAACATTTTATTAACTGATAAAATGTTAGTGATATTATGATAAACAATTTATCAGTTGACAACTTTTTGATATGTGTTACTGGAACCGAGATAATTGAGCTCAAAGTTGGCGGTTTGGGTGCTCTTCTATTATACGTTTTACGGTATATTGATCTAGTGAGATTTCAATCACTTTTTTGGTCTTATCGGAGCATCACTGTGTTTCATTCTTTTTACAGTTTGATCTTATTGATCTTTTAGGCTTTTCAGGCTAGATACCGTATTCCCGAGAATAGGATTTTTGAGAATTTGAAAGTGCTTGAACCTTACAAAGCTTGGATTCATTTGCAGCTACCGTATTTCCTCTAATAGAAGCCTACGTAAACCACCATTTTGCAGCTCAGTTATCTCGTCTCCTGTTAATGATATCAAAAATGTATCAACTGATAAAATATAGGTGATATCATGAAGAACATTTTATCAGTTGACAGGTTTTTGATATCCTTTACAGGAACTGAGATAATTGAGCTCAAAGTGGACGAGTTGAGTGGGCTGCTATCAGAATAATTTCAGTAGCTTTAAATGAACCCAAGCTTGTAGGGTCCAAGCTCTTCGAAATTCTCAAAAATCCTGTTACAGGGAATACGGCATCTAACACAAACCTTGGTGATTGGGCCTATAACATTCTGATCAATTTCCAATCGATTTCTCGAACTTTCTGGTCTGCTATTCGAGGAAATACGGTATCTATGGAATTTCAAGGCTAAAAATAGTGCTCCGGAGCAACTTTGGGCTCTTTCCTAAATTCCAAACTTCTCTAGACCACCCAGTTTTTCCTAATCAAACTTTTTGAACGTCAAAAACCAATGCACCCAGAAATACCCAGAAACCGGTTTTTTGCTGCTCCCCGAGAGAGCAAAACTGTTTGAGCAAACTGTATGTTTGCATAATTACTCTCATCTATATGACCTATTTATAAATATCAGAAATAGAAAAGTTGAGAATGCCTATTGCCAATACAGTCTTTCTCTCGTTTCTTCCGGTTATCTTGGTTCACCATCTCTTCTTCTACTACGTTTTTTCAGTGTCAATGCCATCTGAATTTCTCTGCTGTCTCTTGGTTTTCCATACTCTCTCTCGCTATAGAATTTACGAATTTCTCGAAACCCAAAAAGTTCGTCCTTTGTTTGGGTTTTTTCTCATTCTCATATTCTTCTTGCCCAGCTACCTGACGGTCGTTTCGAGACTTTTAGATGACTAGTTTCCTACTCTTTTTGATTAAAGTATTTTAGAATTTTAGAGAATTTTCGTAGGATTTTCTAGAGGATAATCTGGAACGACTGAGATTTTGAAGGCGTATTTTTGAGAATTTATCATCGTATAGACGTTTTTAGAGCTTCTCGATTCTTATAACTCATTCTAGAATTCCTGGAACCTCCCATCATTTTTTATCTCAATTACCCCCAATTAAGTCAATTATCCCCTTGATCTCCCTGCACCTCTATTCTAGAACTTTGAAACTATCTCTTCTTCTTCTTCTTTTGTTTATGTTTTTCTCTATTTTCCTAGTTTCCATTTCCACCCCAGTCAGTCTTTAGTTGAAATTCAATTAAAGTCGGTGTCAGTTTTCCCTCGGTTTCCTGGAGCTCTCGTGATGAACCCGCCCACATTCCGGTTCCAGAAATGGAGGAGCTACGTGGCTTTTTGAAGACGTTCTTTTCAATTTTTAGAAGAAAGTTGAGATGGTCCAGGAAGCTGAGAAAAATTCGGTTCAGAAATTCAAACTTAAGATTCAGAATCAAAAAAAGGTTTTGGTTAGATACCGTATTTTCTTTAATAGACGCTCCCACCCAGACCATCAACATTGAGCTCAATTATCTCGATTCCTATGAAAGATATAAAAAACTTGTCAACGGATAAAATATTACTGATAATATGATAAATATTTTATCAGTCGGCGAATTTTCGATATCTCTCAAAGGAACCGATATAATTGAGCTCAAAGTTGACAGTTTGGATAGGCTTATGTTATAGAAAATATTGTATTTTGTTTGATCAAGTTTGAGCTCAATTATCTCGATTCCCATCTGAATTTTGTCAACTGATAAAATATAACTGATGATGTGATGAATATTTCATCAGTTGACAAAGTCTTGATATCTCTCATGCGTACAGTACCCCCTAGAGCTCTAGACCCTATGAGTCTTATGAGATCCTATCCTATGAGACCTAGATTTCCAGCCAAATTCAATGTCACTATTGTCTATTCAAAATAATCGCGCGGATGAACGAGTAAAAAAACGTGTAGAGAGTATCAAAACTTGTAGAGGCGCTGTAGAGACGCAGACATTTTCACTCGTTCACTCGCGCGATTATTTTGAATAGACAATAAAAGTTTTGAATCCGAAGACCTACAGTACCCCCCAGATCTATAGTCTCTCTTGTCTAGCAGCTATGACTAACCACCCCCCCCCCCCAACCCGGAAAAAAAAATAAAAGCGATATCAATTTTCTATAAATTCTTTTTCCCAATAAATTCCATCTTGTTCTTCTTCCCCATTCTCCCAATTAATGAAAAGTGTCTGCGTCTCCACATATTACACACGCTCTCGCTTTCCTTTGCAGTCAGTTCGCTTGCAGTAATTTGGTTGTTTTTGAGACAGACCCCCGCATTTTTGAAATTTTGTCATTCCTCCAGTCCTCCACCTCCTCTTAGCTTCTCCTCTTTTCATTCTACCATTTTTTTGCGCCTTTTCACTTAAAGGACTCTCTATTACTTGCTATTTTTCACCCTACAGTATCCTCTCATGCTCACTTGCTCCACGGCAACATGTCAAATCTCACCGCACTACCCGAAGTTTATCGAAAAGCTCCGCCGGCTCATTTGGGGTCACGAGCCGTCCACATCCTACGAATTCGATGAAATGGCACAGAAAGTTGCGCTGAAATCGCATCGACGCAATGTTCATGAGCACGAATATTTTGTGGAGGAGATTCATTATGATCCCACGAAACATCATCATATTATAAGGAAAAAACAGCCGGGGGTCGAGAAGACACACCATCATCATAGGGGTGGTGGATCCTCGTATTTTAAGAAAAGTCACAAAAAGTTAGTGGGAAAAAAAGTTTGAAGGCCTTTGAGCTCAATTATCTCAATTCCTTTAAAAGTTATCGAAATTTTTCAACTGATAAATTGCTTATCATACTATCACAAATATTTTATCAATTGCCAAAATCCTACTATCTCTTATAGGAAGCAAGATAATTGAGCTCAAAGTTTGATGTTCGAAAAATGTGAAAAATAGCTTTTTTCACATTTTTTGAACTTTAAACTTCGAGCTCGGTTATCTCGTTTCCTGTAAACGATACCAAAATTCTGTGAACTGATAAATTGTTTATCATATTATCACCTCTATTTTATCAGTTGACAAATTGTTGAAAAAAAACATTCGCAGGAATCCAGATAATTGAGCTCAAAGTTACCAGTTTAAAAATTAGCTCTGAAAATGTGCGTAAAAATTGCCCCAATTTGATGGTTTTCCAATTTTCAGCTTCAAATTTCCTCTGAAAATTACTCTGAAAATTTGGAATTTCGAATTTTAATAAACTTTTATCATTGCACATTTCCAGATTTTTTGATTTTTAGTTTCTTTTCCCTCTAATCTAACCCAGTTTTATTCCAGAACCGCTTCCGTTCAAGCTCTCACCGACGTCCAATTATGGGTTCTCGATCGATCGGTATTCCAAATGATCACTCAACGATTGGGGATGGAAAGACACTCGCAGATTATCAATTTCCTTTCAAAGGTGACTTTTGAGGAATTTTTTAAAGTTTTGAAAAACAGGAGACTACTGTAAAATCTATAAAAGAAAGGACCCTCTACCTTTGAGCCAATTTATCTCGGTTCCTGTTAAAGATAATAAAAAGTTTTCAACTGATAAAATGTTTATCATATTATCAGCAACATTTTATCAGTAGACTAATTTTTCATATCTTTTACAGTAACCGAGATAATGGAGCTCAACCATTTACGTCATATCAATTGCTAATCAAAAAGGAACTTTCAGCGGCGCGAGAAAAGATCAAAAACGCTTCGTTTGTTGCTGCTAATCTCTATAATTTGTGTTGATTTTCTGCGGCGCAGCGAAACGATAGCAGAAAAAAGAGAACCATTTCTTCCATAGGTTGGAAATGAAATTCACGTGAATTTGGGTGACGAATTGAGATGAAAAAGAAGAGGGAACGGGACTGTGTTGATTTTTTGATTCTTTTTGGAAAAAGTGACGAACGGAAGAAAATTGACTAGGTCTAAAGTCACGTAACTGGTCGAAATGACCTAGTTTTTGAGAGTTCTTTGAATCGATGTATAGGAAGCCTACTGTAGGATAGGATCCTGAAGAATCCTGAGAAATCCTGGAGGATCCTAAAGGGTCCTGAAGCATCCTGGAGGGTCCTGGAGAATCTTGGAGAGCCCTGGAGGCTTCTGGAGAATCCTAGTAAATTCTGGAGAATCTTGGAGGAACCTGGAGAAATCTGAAGTACTAGGAGATTCTGGAGAATCCTAGAGAATCATGGGGAATCTTAGAGCATCCTAGACGATCTTGGAACAACCGGGAGAGTTCTGGAGAATCCTGGAGGATCCTAGAGGATTCTAGAGGATCTTAGAGGGAGGATCCTAGACGCTTCTAGAGGCTCCTAGAGGCTCCTAGAGTCTCCCAGAGGGGTCTGAAGAATTCTGAACGATCCTGGAAGCCTCTAAAGGATCCTGAACAATCCTAGAGGATCATAGACGATCACAGAGGATTGTAGAGGATCCTAAAAATATCTGGAGGCTCCTGGAGAATCATAGAAGATTCTTAATAAACCTAAAAATTTGGATACTTTGATTCAAAGTAGGTATCCTACTGTAGGACGGTCCTAGAGAATCCGGGAAAACCCTGGAAGGTTCTAGAAGATTCTGGAGGCTCCTGAAGGATTTTGGAAGATCCTTGACGATCATAAAAGGTCCCTAGGATTCGTGAATCCTCAAAATAATGTTCTCCACGCTCTCAAAAAAAAACCAGAATCGATTTATTGCTCGATCAGAAGGCTCTCCGGAACTTGTCCAACACAATAGGCTGATTTTTGTCGCTCTCCGAAATTGGTCAAAACCTGACCATTTCCTGCTCTTTTTCTCTTTTCTTCCTCAATTCTTTTTCTCCGCATTTATCGAAGATCATGATTAATTTGTGCTGCTCATTCGTTGTGCTCTTCTCCCAGCAGCACAAAGAAATAAAGCGAGAAAATAATCCCGAAAGCTAACGAACGAAGCGCCGCCGCATCGTCTGTAGGCTCAATTACAGTAATCCTCTAGAGGTGGAGCAATATTTCGTCTCGTCACTTTTTGAGTCATTTTGGGTTGTTCCCCACCACCCGATGGCTCATCGTTTCATCGCTAAAAATGATGTCGTGGATTTTGTGAAGTCTCTATTTTTTGAAAAGTCTCTGATTGAGACCTCTAATTGGCTCTAATTAGGCCTAATTAACTATTCAAAAAGTTGAAAAAATGAAGCAAGTTTATGTGGTAATCAAAATATGGTTCTTATCACTCCTTACTGATAATTTTGCAGGTCTCAATCTTCGCCAACCTCACCGAGGATCGTATCTCAAAAATCGCCGATGTCATGGACCAGGACTACTACGATGGTGGGCACTATATCCTGAGACAAGGGGAGAAGGTAATTAGCTCGGGAAACTTAATTAGGGATAATTAGCAAAGAAGACTACAGTACCGGTGGATTTTCGGTCATTTTCAGGATCCTGGAGCTTGGCTGTCAAGTTTCGAAAGTTTTCTAATAAAAAAAAGGTCTCTAGCTCAATTTTGAAGCGAGTTACAGTCCTATCTGTTTTGAGGGCGCGTTCAGCCGGAGGTGATAAGTGGCGCTCGCGACAGTCACCTCCGTCTGAGCGCGTCCACAAAATGAAAAAGGACCGAAAATCAATAGGTTACTGTATCTTATTGATTAGTACTGCATATTCAAAAAAGAATAGTTATAATTCATGAGCAAGTTACAGGGTGACGCCTTCTTTGTGATCAATTCTGGGCAAGTCAAAGTGACGCAACAGATCGAAGGAGAGAAGGAAGCGCGGGAGATTAGAATTTTGAATCAGGTACATTTAAATATTTGAAAATCGTAAATGATTCTGAGCAATCCTGGAGAGCTCTGGAGGATCCTGGAAAATCCTGGATGGTCTTGGAGGATTCTGGAGAATCCTGGAGCGAGCACCCTGGAGACTTCTGAAGGATTCTGGAGAATTCTAGCCGATTCTGGAGGCTTCTGGAGGGTCTTGGATTCTTTTTTAGACTTCTGGAGACTTCTGGAGGTTTCATGAGACTTCTGGAGGATTCTAGAACTCTGGAGGATCCTAGACGTTCCTGGAAGCTTCTGGAGGATTCTGGATACTTCTAGATAGCCCTAGAGACCCCTAGAGGCTCTTTAAAAAAAACAATTAATCTATAATTTTCCAGGGAGACTTCTTCGGAGAGCGTGCCCTTCTTGGAGACGAAGTTCGAACGGCCAACATCATTGCTCAGGCGCCAGGCGTCGAGGTCCTTACCCTAGATCGTGAATCGTTCACCAAGCTCATCGGCGATCTAGATACCCTCCGGAAAGACTATGGAGACAAGGAACGTGTGGCGACGCTGGTCCGAGAGCCGCCAAGTCCTGTGAAGATTGTCGACGATTTTAGAGAGGAATTCGCGAATGTAACGCTGAAAAATGTGAAGCGACTGGCGACACTGGGAGTTGGAGGATTCGGAAGAGTCGAGTTGGTTTGTGTCAATGGGGATAAGTCCAAAACCTACGCCCTGAAGGCGTTGAAGAAGAAGCATATTGTGGATACCCGCCAGCAGGAGCATATCTTCGCAGAGAGGAATATTATGATGGAGACATCAACGGATTGGATTGTGAAGCTTTATAAGACGTTCCGTGATCAAAAGTTTGTCTATATGCTTCTTGAAGTTTGCCTTGGTGGAGAGCTCTGGACCACACTTCGTGACCGCGGACACTTTGATGATTATACCGCCCGTTTCTATGTGGCTTGTGTGTTGGAAGGTTTGGAATATCTGCACAGGAAGAATATTGTGTACAGAGACTTGAAGCCGGAGAACTGCCTCTTGGCTAACTCTGGATACTTGAAATTGGTTGACTTTGGATTCGCGAAGAAGCTGGCGTCGGGACGGAAGACGTGGACATTCTGTGGAACGCCAGAATACGTGTCACCGGAAATTATTCTGAACAAGGGACACGACCAGGCTGCTGACTACTGGGCACTTGGAATCTACATTTGTGAGCTGATGTTGGGACGGCCACCGTTCCAGGCTAGCGATCCTATGAAGACGTACACGTTGATTCTGAAGGGAGTCGACGCGTTAGAGATTCCGAATCGACGAATTGGAAAGACGGCGACGGCGTTGGTGAAGAAGTTGTGTAGAGACAATCCGGGAGAGCGATTGGGATCGGGATCCGGTGGTGTGAACGACATTCGGAAGCATCGGTGGTTCATGGGATTCGATTGGGAGGGATTGAGAACGAAGACGTTGAAGCCACCAATTCTGCCAAAGGTTTGTTTGTGTTCTGAAAATGATTTTTCTAGGCCACCAACTTTTTCGGCCTAAAATTGGCCTGAAGTGTTTTTAGGCCATTTCAACATGGTGGCCTAACTTTTGCAATTTGAGTTTTCTAGGTCACTATGGAAAGATGGGCTGGAAAGCACATCAGGGGTATAGCATTTCTATGTCATCTATGATGGTGGCCGAACTTTCCCAATATGAATTTTCCAGTCCACCAACTTTTTTGGCCTGAAAATAATGTAATATTCATCTGGTGTGTTTTCTAGGTCATGTTTACCTGGTGGCTTAGAAAACTCAGCTTGCCAAAGTTAGGCCACCATATTGAAGCACCCTAGAAAACACACCACTTGAATAGAAGACTATTTTAAGGTCTAAAAAGTTGGTGGTCTAGAAAAATCATCCTGAGAAAGTTAGGCCATCATGTTAATGGCCTAAAAAATACACCAACTGAATATCAGGCGATTTCTAGCCCATAAAAGTTAGTGGCCTAGAAAACTCAAATCTCAAAAGTTAGGCCACCATGCAAAAATGGCCTAGAAACCAGATCGGTTGAATATCAGATCAATTCAAGGCTAAAAAAGTTGGTGGCCTGAAAAATTAGGCTTGCAAAAGTTAGGCCAGCATGTTGAAATGACCTAGAAAACATAAAAATTTCAAAATTCTTCCAGGTGAACAATCCAGCGGACGTGACTAACTTTGACAACTACCCACCAGACAACGATGTTCCACCAGACGAGTTCTCCGGATGGGATGAGGGATTCTAATTCTCAAATTATCCTTATTTTTCGCTTTCCTTTCTCTTTCTCAAGAATTCCTCCATTTTCTAATATTCTCATCATCTAATTTGTATATACATGTAACGGTTAGACCCCCCTTCCACCCCTTTTTTACAGTTTTTCGGTTAGTGCCGCCCGTCTCGCCCTGTCCCTTTCTTCTTCTTCTCATCCCAATTTGCAAAATTGTCTATTGAACACTACAAACAACAAACAAGCAGCAAAAACCCTTTTCCCTCGAATTCCAGCCAAATCGACGAGATTATTGTGATTCGTCCGGTTCACAAAATTTTCTTTTTTTACGACTTTTTTTCCTAAATAATTTAGTTGAATTTTTAAAATTTTTTTCGTCTCAACTTTTCTTGGTCATCATCACTAAAAGTAATTTCAAATTTACCCCCCCCCCCCACAATCTCTCAATTATATATGTTTCCCTTTTTCGAATCTTCCAAAATAATGTTTTTTTTTAAAGATTTTTATCAGTTCTCACAAATAAAAGACTTTGAAAAACATAAAACATTGGCGATCATAAAAAACTGAACAGGATTTTAAAAATCAAATTTAGGCCACAAATCTTGATAAAAACTAGCAAATGAATCTGAGAAAATTACCGTAAACACTCTAATAGAACGCCACTTGGACCGTTCACTTTGAGCCTATATATCTCACTTTTTTTGAAAGACATCAAAAAGTTGTAAACTGATAAAATGTTTATCATGATATCACCAAAATTGTATTAGTTGACAACTTTTTGATATCTTTCACAGGAACCGAGATAATTGGGCTCATAGTTGACGCGGGGCTTAGCACACCTGGACCCTCCTTCCCGTGGGAAACTCCGCCCCCTTTTCAAACGTTTTAGGTATTGTTATCTACATTTTCGAATTTTTTTCAACTTTTTAGAATCGTCTCCAACATCATCTTTTACTCACTCTCTCCTTGATTTCTCAAAATCCACCTCATCTACTCGTTTCTAAAAACTATCCCTGAAAATTTTCAACAAATGCGGATGTCTTCTCGTCATTGTTTGATTTTTTTTGGCTGTACATTCTTCAAACAGTCATAAACTCTGACTAATAGGATCAGTGACTTGGGAAACCAACATTCTTGTTTAGTGATAAGAAAACTGTTACGGCAGATTACCTAATTGTGTTTTGTCAACTTAAAACAAAAGGTACCATACTTGAAAACATTGGAATCGGTAACAGCACCAAATATTATATATCCATGAATCCATAAATCGAAGAATCTTGAAACTAGAAAATTTGTTTGAAAAAACTTTGAAATCGGGAACTCTAGAGATTAGAAAATCAACAAAAACTCACCAGGTTTCTAGGTCATCTTAAAATAGTGGCCTAACTTTTTCAAGTTGTGTTTTCTAGGCCACCAACTTTTTTCATCTAAAAATGGTCTGATATCCATCTAGTGTGTTTTCTAGGTCATGTTAACATAGTGGCCTAATTTTCCCAACATGAATTTTCTAGGCCACCAACTTTTTTTTGGCCTGAAAATGGTCCAATATTCACCTGGTGGTTTTCCAGTAATTTTGCCACGGTGGCCTAGGAAACTCAAATTGCAAAAATTAGGTCACAATGTAAAAATGACTTGGGAAACACACCAGATGAATATTAGACCATTTTAAAGTCAAAAAAGTTGGTGGCCTAGAAAACTCAAATGGTAAAAGTTAGGCCACAAGAAAAAAATTGAAATGACCCAAAAAACACGCCAGGTAAAAAATCTGGAAAATTGAACTCTTAAGAACTTGTGATTCACCTCTTAATATGTATTTTCCTTCCGTCCTAATTCTTCTAACTGTCTTATCAGAGAAACAAATTACAAAAAATTTAAACACACGGTTCTTTTTGCAAAGTTTCCCCATTTTTCCTGAAATTATGTCATTATCTGATTTGTCCATTAATCAACCGGACCCCGAAATTGAAGAACCTAAAAATGAATGTTCTATTCCTAGCTGGCTTTTTAGACAAAACAAAATTGAACCGGAAATTGGTAATTTTTCCTAGTAAGTGAATTTTTTTTGAAATTTTGAATTTTCAGATTATTCAATTCCATATTGGTTCGGAAGGTATCACGATTCCTTTGAAACTTATTCAGTTGGAAGTTATAAGGATGAAGAGCATTGTAAGAAATTTGAATTGTCAAAAAATTCAATTTTTTCAAAAGTTCCTCTCTGAAAACTGCTCGAATTTGTACAGAAAATTATTTAGAATCACATAAAAATAATGAAAAAGTTTAAAAAAATCAGAAATTCTTAAAATCGGAAATCCTGAAATTCAGAATTTTCGAAAATTTGTTCCAAAAGTTCCAAACAACCCCAAAATTCCAAGAATTTCAAAATTCTGGAAGTTCCGACCATCGAAAAATTCCAAAATATAAAATTCGGAAAATATTGCGAAAATTAGAGCTTGAGAAATCCAAAAAACAAAATCAGAATTTTCAGAATTTCTTAATTTTTCAAAATTCCAAAAAAAATTGGAAATTTGAAAATCCAAAAATCAGAAAATTCTAAAGATCAGAATTTCAAAAAATCGGAAATCCTGAAATTCCAAAAAAAAATCTGAAAAATCCAAACATTTCCAAAAATTCCAAACAACCCCGAAATCCCGAAAATTCCTAAATACCAGAAGTTAAAATTTGAGAAACACAGAAAATCAGAATTTTCAAAATTTCGGAATTTTTCAAAAATTACAAAATCCAAAAATCCATAAAAATGGGAATTTTTTTCTTTTCAGTGTAATTGGATTTTCAGTTTTTAAAATTTCCCTTCTCCAAAAAGTTTGAAATATAATCAAAAGTTGTCCCAAAATTACAGATTACGCATGCATTGATCACAATAATTATTCAAGTGGCAATGATCCAGGTTTGAATCTTTTTTCAAAAAATTTAATTTTTTTCAAATTTCCAGACGGCCATATCCGCTTCCGACCTCTTCCATACCCTATACCTAAAGGGATAGATCTAGAATATGCAAGGCCTCGTAAAAGAGGATCCAATAGCACCTGTATGGTATTTTTCGTAAAAGCAATTTTGCGTTATTGGAAAGTTATCCTGCTCTGTGCACTTGGTTTTGTGATTTTGTTTTTATTAATTTTCATAACTATATTTTTGGTCTTTATCCAGCCTAAACATGCGGAAGGACCGACAATAAGTACCGGTGAGATTCTTTGAACAAAAAAAATTAAAACATTTTTTTCAGGAGTTCCAAATTGTTCATTTTCCACTAGATTGGCTACAACCAAAAGTTTAATCATTTTTACAACAAAAAATCAATCTGAAACAACAACGATAGCTCCAGAAGTTAGCCCGAACCCTCCAGCAAGTAAGTGAAGTATTGATTCTGCATTTTTGGTTTCGAACTTCGATTCTCTATTTTTCCATACTTGCAAGATTGCCAAAAAACGGGCCCAAAACGGTATAAAACTATACTGTTTGAAGTACAGCATTTTGTCTATGAACAAAGTTACAAGCCAAAATACAGCCGGGCCCCTGGCGGGCTCTTGGCGCGTCACTAGCGGCCTTTCGCGGACCCTGTCATAGTTTCTTTTAGAAGCAATATTTCTTGACCAACTAAATTAGTTATGATAGAACCCGACTAGGACTACAAAATGATTCTAATTGCGACGCTGTATCATGTCTGTGAATAAAGTTACAGACCAAACAGGCCGAAAAATCCGACAGGGCCCGGTCCGGATTTGCAGCTTTATGGCTTGTAACTTTGTTCACAGACATGACATAGTGTCCCAAATAATATCATTTTGTGATGCTCGTCAATTTCTTTCATATCTGATTTAGTTGGTCAAGAATTATTGATCCTAAAAGAAACTATGACAGGACCCGCCAGGGCTCGTTTTGGGCCCGTTAGCATGTATGTGTTTTTCCAGATTTCAACCTAATATGTACGAATGGTTTCCAACTAGTCAATGGAAAATGTTGGAAATTCATTTCCCAACATCAATCTAAAAACAATTCTGATTTGGAATGCCAAAAATACTCTGGAAGTGGCCTTGCTACAATACAAACTGCACAAGACAACCTTGAACTTCAAAACTTTCTGAAAAATCAAAATGTTGGCAGAGTTTGGATCGGTCTAGAATGTTTTGGGAATGAGGAGGAAAAGTGTGAATGGGACAATCAACAGGGACCATTAACAGAATATAGTAACTTTGGACAAGGTTTTGGAAATATATCAACATAGAAAGATGATGAAAAAATTAGATTTCCAGGATTTCCAAATTGGTTCATTGGCAATTGCACATATTTTGATAGTGCCACTGGAAAATGGATAAGTGCAGATTGTGATGTATACGAAATGGCTTATGTGTGTGAATTGCCAACGACGATAGAAGGTGAGAACAAATTTGGAAACACAAAAAATTTGAAAATTTCAAAATTTAAAGGTGGAAGAGACACTCTTGAGTTTGAGCTAATTTATCTCGGTTACTGTAAGAGATAACAAAAATGTGTCAACTAATAAGATATTGTTGATATTATGATAAATATTTTGTCAGTGGACCATTTTTAATATCTTTTACAGGAACCGAGATATATCAGCTCAAAGTTAGCTGTTAGGGAGGACTAGTGTGTTTACGGTATTTCAAATCCAATTCCATTTTCCAGACACCTGTGAGTATAACTATGCTGACCACTGTTATCTACGAAACGACGCCTGGATATCATTTCAAGCAGCTCTAGACACGTGTCACCAACAATGTTCCGAAATGGTTTCAGTCCATTCTGAACTCGAAAATCGATTCATCCAATCCATGTACCTCGATGTAACTGATCAATCTATTCTATGGCTCGGTGGTCTAGCTGCTCAACAAGATTATATTATGTGGACTGATAATTCACCGAATGATTATCAAAGTGATTACAGTGCTTTTAATAATTCAGCTAGTTGCTTAACTATGAGTTATCGATCTGGGAGGTGGTTCACTTCTCCATGTAGTTTTTATCGATGGTTTATTTGTAAAAGGAAGATTGGTGTCAGTTGTTGATAAAGATTTTAAGAATTGTTTCGTTAATCATTTTGTATCCTAAAGAATTGGGTTTTTTTTCTCAAAATAACAAATATAAACCGTGTTCCTTCTAATAGGAGCCCACCCAACCGTCAACTTTGAGCTCAATTATCTCGATTTTTGTGAATGATATCAAAGTTTTGTCAACTGATAAAATATAGCTGATATTGCAATAAAAATTTTATTAGTTGACAACTTTTTGATATCTTTTAAAAGAAGTGAGATATATAGGCTCAAAGCGGACGGTGCCGTTCTATTAGAGTGTTTACGGTATTCGTAGAATTCAAAATTTTTGTTCCAATTCATTAATTTCAGTTTCAAAGTGAAAAAATCATGCTCCGATCTTTTTGCTGTGGTCGCTAACTGTAACACTATTTTTTTCAAAAACAATAGAACGAACAAGACTGTCAACAGTTTTCAAAATTAGGATTTTTTCCAATTTGAAATTTTGAGATTTTAAAAGTTGGTCTATTTTCAAAAACGGAAGAAAAGGGTGAAAGTTTTATAATAGGATTATTTTGATAAGAATGTTGTGGAATACCTAAAACATGGTTTTTTATTTGAAAATGAAGCAATTTCCTACTATTCTTCTATATTTCATTCTGATATTTAGCCCTTATTCCGATACTGTACCTATCTGTAATAATGGATTTGACTTGAACGGAGGAAATTGTTGGAAATATATTCCAAAAAAGTTAACACAAGCAGATGCAGAGAAGGAGTGTCTAAAGTACAATGGAGCAACTTTGTTGGACATCAGAACGGATACTGTGAGATTTTGAAAATTATTTATTTAAGAAAATTCAAATTTTTGGAAATCTAATTTCTCAGATAAACACTGCTCTCCAACAGTACCTGCAAAATGAAAAGGTTTCTAGTCCCGTCTGGCTTGGGTTATACTGTACTCAGACTGCAAATCTTGGCAAATGCCAATGGAGCTTCAATCGAGGAAACACCGTGAAAGTGAAACATTTTGCAGATAAAAATCCAAATGTTGCAATAGGAAATTGTGTTTATTTTGATGTTTCCTCAAAACAATGGTACAGTGAGAAATGCACAGAGAAGATGGGATTCTTGTGTGAAGTGCCCATGACGGCGGAAGGTTAGTTTTTATGAGTCTTTCCTGAAATTTTGAAGTTCAATAGTTCCTCGACTTTCCAATTTTGATACCTTAAAACCTGTAATAGAGGGGACACCTTTACTTCTAACTTTGAGCCAATATATCTTGGTATCTATGAAAGATATCAAAGTTGTCAACTGATTAATTGTTTATCATAATATCAGAAGTGTTTTGACAAATGACACATTTTTGATATCTGGCATAGTAATTGAGATACTCGGCTGGCACAAGTCTCTGAGCACATTTTTCTATGTATTAGTTAAGACGTGTGGGAGACTTGTTCAAGACGTGGGGTANGCTTATTCTGAACTTGTGTGAGGCTTGGCCAAGTCTTGTATTCTGTTGTTTCTGTTTTTATTGTAACGACACAAGACTTGGCAAGCCTCCAACAAGTCTAGGACAAGCCTACCACAAGTCTTGCACAAGTCTTCCACAAGTCTTCCACAAGTCTGAACTAATACATAGAATAATGTGCTCAGAAACTTGTGCAAGTATGGGCGCCGCCAGCCGATATAATCGAGCTTAACAATGTTGGGACCCTTAACTTAACAATGTTGGGACCCTTCTTTCAATGGAAAAGTATCATCTCAGATTTCGAAATTCTTAATTTCCCGAAATTCAGATTCTTGCGTCCACAACTACAATCATAACTGCTATTTTCCCATCACCTCCACCCCACACACTTTCGCCCACAGTCATCAGGCTTGTCAAAAAAAGTATTGCGCAGATCTAGTTTCCATTCATTCTGAACTCGAAAATCGATACGTGGCATCTTTATTCAACCATTCGGGAGACACAATCATCGGAGGAATGGCACCAACAATGAATACAGTAATCTGGGGTGATCGCTCGCCAGCTTTCTACAATAATCTCAAAAAAATGGGAAGTGGAAATTGTTTACATATGAATGTTGGGAAAATCGATGGTACAAATGGTCAATGGTTCAGTACTAGATGCTCTGGAAGTTATAGTTTTGTGTGTAAACGGCCGACTGGAATAAAGTGCGGAACTGGATAGGAAGTCCCAAGCTGAAAATTGTACAGAATTATGTTATTTCCAGTTTCACTCAATAAATTATTTATATTTCATTTTTGAAGAGTTTCATTATCCAAAGCAGTCTTCAGGAACAATCGATAAAATGTCAGCAGGGTTTTCAGCTCAGAAAAATTCTCTTTGTCTGAAAAATATCAAATTTTAATGGAAATTTTTAGAACTTCATTACCTTCAGCTTCTCTAATTTATACTGAATCGCCAAATTGAACTTGTCCTTTATCGATTTTTTTTGAATTTTCGAGAAGAAAACGTTCACACAGGTAAAATGCGAACGGGTCCGTTACGGACGCTTCGCGTTCGCGCGCGGTTGAAATAGGAACCGCATACGGACCGCACGCGAACCGTTTTT